CCCCACTGTCCCCGGTCCCCGCACCATCCGGTCCCCACTGTCCCCGGTCCCCACACCATCCGGCCCCCACTGTCCCCGGTCCCCACACCATCCGGTCCCTACTGATGGATCCGGTCATCACGTTGCCGCCCGACGGCCGCTCTGGTGTCAGCCAGATGAAACGGTCGCCCCGAAGTCGCGCCTGGTGGCCGAGGTGAGATTGGATGTAACCATCAGAACATGTGGGGGAGAAGCTCCAATCTCAACGAAGCAACAGCCAGGAGTGCCAGCTCAGCCCTGGGCGTTTTGGCGGCAGCCATGGCAGTCGTTTACGGGGAATTTGCTGATCTCTTGCACGGCAACCAGGTCCTTGTAGTGGTTGATGCGTAAGCATTTCATGCGGCGTGACGACTCGATATTTGAAACATCACTCTATCCGTGACGGATTTTTAAAAAAAATCCCCACCAGCTCTGGCTCTTACAGCTCGTGGGTGGATCCAGGATTTCGTCTCAGGAGACGTGCGGGGGGGGGGGCAAAGACGTAACTGTGGGGATGGACAACAGCTTCCCTCACAGCGTCGTAAAATCACAGTAGACGCCTTCTGAAGATTTCGCTGGAATTATGCCAAAAACACGCACCATGCGTGACGAAATTTGCATTTGCGCTCATCCTGAGTACACATTTAGCTACGTGCCTTAGAGGACCACGGAAGATCATGCATATATTAATACACTAACTGTGCACAATACCTCTCCCCCTCTCACACACACACACACACACACACACACACACACACACACACACACACACACACACACACACACACACACACACACACACACACACACACACACACACACACACACACACACACACACACACACACACACACACACACACACACACACACACACACACACACACACACACGCGCACACACACACACACACACACACACACACACACACACACACACACACACACACACACACACACACACACACACACACACACACACACACACACACACACACACACACACACACACACACACACACACACACACACACACACACACACACACACACACACACACACACACACACACACACACACACACACACACACACACACACACACACTCTCTCTCTCTCTCTCTCTCTCTCTCTCTCTCTCTCTCTCTCTCTCTCTCTCTCTCTCTCTCTCTCTCTCTCTCGAGGACGATGACAATGGCGGTGACGATGGAATGAAGTGTAGGAGCTCGGCTCTGATGGGTGTGCCAGTCGCAGATGCAAGTGCGGTCAGGAAAGACCATAGTAGCCCGTGCGACCTCCCTGCCCAGCTTTTCAGAATAGGATGCTTACTCCACGATGTTGTGGTGGAACTAAGCTGTCCATGCACGTGGAAAAAGACATATATCGCAGGCATATCAGCTGGGTTCCCCCGAATTCACCAGCGCAGCGTCCCCACCAGATCAGCTCTGACCTAAGCTGTGAGGATGATAGATGATGATATGGATAGATGTCGTCATCGCTAACTGAAGGTGACGAGCCGGAGGCATGATTAATCCTGTCAAGGTAACAGATAACGCGAGCGACCAAACGGCGACACACAAGGGCCTGCCCTCTACTCCGATGCGAGTCGCGGCGGCGTGGCGCCGGGCACCGGTCTCCGCCACGCCAGGCGACAGTCCCCGCTGTATTGGGTGTTGTTCTACGCCGCTATAGACGCTGGTCTCCGCCGTACCAGGCATCGGTCCCCGCTGTATTGGGTGTTGTTCTACGCCGCTATAGACGCTGGTCTCCGCCGTACCAGGCATCGGTCCCCGCTGTATTGGGTGTTGCTCTACGCCGCTATAGACGCTGGTCTCCGCCGTACCAGGCATCGGTCCCCGCTGTATTGGGTGTTGCTCTACGCCGCTATAGGCGCTGGTCTCCGCCGTACCAGGCATCGGTCCCCGCTGTATTGGGTGTTGTTTTACGCCGCTATAGACGCTGGCCTCCGCCGTACCAGGCATCGGTCCCCGCTGTATTGGGTGTTGTTCTACGCCGCTATAGACGCTGGTCTCCGCCGTACCAGGCATCGGTCCCCGCTGTATTGGGTGTTGCTCTACGCCGCTATAGACGCTGGTCTCCGCCGTACCAGGCATCGGCCCCCGCTGTATTGGGTGTTGCTCTACGCCGCTATAGACGCTGGTCTCCGCCGTACCAGGCATCGGTCCCCGCTGTATTGGGTGTTGTTCTACGCCGCTATAGACGCTGGTCTCCGCCGTACCAGGCATCGGCCCCCGCTGTATTGGGTGTTGTTCTACGCCGCTATAGACGCTGGTCTCCGCCGTACCAGGCATCGGTCCCCGCTGTACTAGGTGTCGGTCTACGCCGCTATAGACGCTGGTCAGCTACGCCAGGCGACGGCCCCCTCTGTACTAGGTGTCGGTCTACGCCGCTATAGACCCTGGTCTCCGCTACACCAGGCGACGGCCCCCGCTGTACTAGGTGTCCGTCTACGCCGCTATAGACGCTGGTCTCTGCCGTACCAGGCGCCGGTCCACGCCGCACAAGGCGCTGGTTCCAGGGCCTTGCCGGTTCCCGCTGCGCCGGAGCGGGGTGCGAGCGCAGGCCATCAACGTTTCTCCCGAGGTAGGCCAGCGGCACCGCGGCATTAGTTGTCGGAAAGGCTTAGGGAAGCCTTCCGTCATTGTTGGTACGAGTGCGCTTTGTGTTGTGACTGGTCATCATGGTAACTGGCATCTAGTACTGGATACCCCAACCCCGGCTCGCCGCGTAATATTAACGTTGCAAGCCTGCAGTCAGTTTGATCAAAGAATATGTTACATCGGGCCTCATTTGTATTTCATGTATATTGTCCATGCGTACACGTTGTTGCCTCCCCTACGGTTATGAATGAAGAAATAAACAAAACACATTTCGCTATCGTCATCGGGGTTTTACGACGCATTTAACTACGGAGGTTCTATCGCGTCGTCCTGTCTGTCGTCGTGGCAGGAAGGGCGGGTACCGTGAGGAATCGAACCCTTTACTTCTCGTTTCCCAGACGTGAAGCTGACCACAGCATTCGGCACCGCACAAAGTGGATTTCGAGCCATGATTTGGGGGTTTGTGTGCAGCGCATGAATTACAACGGATGGGAATTATACGGAATGATAGTCATCTCAGCTAAATATGTGATACATTTTTTTCATTGCTGGTGGCCTTAAGACGCGCTTGGGTGGCTGGTTGGATACCTTTCGCTTGGGTGGGGGTTAAGTTGACCCTCTGAGATCTCAGGAACTAAGAGAGCTAGAGATACCAAATTCACAGGGTGCGTTGACCTGTACGCGAATTAACTTAGGTGAAAGTGTTGGTTCCTAGGTCATGACCCTCGAGTCAAGTAAGGTCAAGCAATGTAAAACTCCAGGTTGGTTTCCAAAGTGTCCTCAGAATCTAGATACTTGTTCTGAGCGAAAGGTCACATGCTCATTTATGGTCAGTGACTTTGTTTGATCTTAAGAAGGCCATGGCAACAAAAACCGTACAAAACTGATTTAAGTTTTGCAACTGAATAAGCAACAAAGTTTACGTTAAGCAGTGTGTTCCTAAGATCACAGTGTTGACCTCGATCATCTTAGGTCAGTGGCCTATTCGGACCATGAGGAAGCTCATGAAATATGTATAATGCAGATTCTGTTATCAATAAATTCGAAATGAGCACCACAAGCTACCCCATACAGCGAGCCTTGGGATACTAAAACAGATTGGCTTTGACCTTGGTCTGACCTTCAAAACTGACTTTAAGTCAATTGAATTTGCCCATTCAATAGCTGTGCTGCCTAAGAAAGTATCTTAAAGAGGTAAGGTCTCGACAAACACTCCGTTGTTGCATTAGATTGTCCGATTCCCCAGAAATTCACTTCAATGAATCCATGGCCCGACTTTGGCCTGCCCTAGGTCAGGTCTGCCCCGCCCTGATCTTGACCTGCCCTGCCCTAGGCGCCTCTACAAGGTACATCTTAAGTTGTGATTTAGATGTACCAAACAATCTGTCGTTCAGTTGTCTAGAGCCATGCAAAATTTGGTGCGGCTATCCGCGCCGTTCGGAACCTATTTCGCAAAATACCTTCCGGAGGGTCAATTTGACCCTAACCCCACCCGAGCGCCTGTTAAGTCACGAGTGAATCCCGAGCCAATGTCACGCGGCTGGTTCCAGTGGTGCTGTCACCTTTCGTGAGAACACAAAATTATTAGCTCCGCACTTTTTACTACCGGATCACCTTGGCTTCAAACGTATATTACAACCCGAATGATAACAAGAGAGTTTCGTTTTCGTACCCAATTAGTCAAAGCGCTCCGTAATTAGCCTTCCAAGCTACATTTTGGCCCTCATGAGATTGCTATAAGAGTTCTACCCGAAATATCCAGACATCACTCAAGTTGAAGTTATCAAAGAAATCCTGCGTGGTTTTGTGCTTTACATTTCGTGTCGTTTCTAATCAACATTCGAAATCGGCCGCTGGGACGAGCACCAGAAACCGATCATAACGCACAACTTTTCTACAAGTTACCGAATTTGAAGACCTAATATAGTACTGTCACATTCAATGAAATGGTGGATCACCATCAACATCCAACATAACCCAAAAAACAAGTGTCCAAAATCCAAACACTTATTATATGTGGGGACCAAGTCCCAGGGGGCATCACAATGTCGCATGGACCTCTTGGCCCACCCCTGGTTGTAGTTACCATGAACTATGCTCCCTACAACACAATTTATTCTCCCCTTACTGTCAGCGAGGGAAGGGGAAAGGGAAGCGGCAGTATTGAGTTGAAGTATGTAAGTAAGAAAAGCAGCAAAGAAGTAGGCTGTTGTTGGATACTTTATTTTTCTTCATATTCTAATCCGTGGCGCATGATGCGTGCTTCCTCATATTCTGCGGTGCATGAGCGTCAAACCAAAAATTAGTGACCATATTTCTCTGAGCATAACGCACAACAGCGCCATCCTCGTCGCCACTCCAGTATATGTCGTGTGGGTGGGAGGGTTAGGATGTTGTTCCGCGTATTTTGTTTTGCATTTCCGGGTAGCCAACGGTGGTAACACTTTGCTTGTGTAGGTTCTTAAACGTGCTTGTGATAATGTGCGACTTTTTGAGTTGCTTCTTTCATTGATGACTCATACATGGCTCGAAACTACGGTGATCATGCTGTTTTAGCAGTATAGCATGGCGGTTACTTCAGTTACATCAGTTAAATATTCCTCTGCTTTTGCAGATAGAAGGCTCAATATGGTTTGATGTTTGGAGGTGGACATGCTGTGCTCTAACAAGATCCATCCATTTCAAGACTTTTGTCAGGTAAGGTGAGATTTGTGTGACAAACATTCTTTGCATTTACCATTAACATTTTGTAAAATTAATTTAAGTGCAGGGTGTGTTTCATGGAGCTATGCTAAGCATTTTTCCTATTTAAATTTATCAAACATTGACTTTTAATGGCAGCAGACAGGTAGTGAATATAGCCTTTGAGCTGTTCATCTTTTATGAATTAACTTTTGTGTTTATTCTTGTTGGTAGTATAACATATCATCATCCTGTAGATGATATGCCTCTATATGAGCAACAGATTGAAACCTGTTACCTAACCAAAGGGGTATGGATTATTTACCACCCTTAAGATGTGATTGTCCTAACTTATGAACCCAATACCTTGGTAGATTCCATGGAGCAACCTTTATCATGTGGCTATAACATAACCATGAACCTGTGAGGATTCCTTTGATTGCAAGAGAAGGAATATGCCCAGTCACCATGCTATGATGCACATGGTAAGGTAGCTAGCAGTGTATGAAACATTGAAAAAAGACAATGATGGTGTAACCTGCAGCTGTTCTTGTACCCCATGTGATGAAGGTTTTATCTAATTTAGGGTGTGGCCTAAATGTGCAAATAGAACAGAGGTACAATAGTTCTATAGGCATATTTTGGGCAACATGAATTTCTGATATTTTTATTAGGTGCAGGCAGGCTGAAAAAACTGATGCAGAAAGCAGTTTTTGGTCCTCAAGAAGTCCCAAACATCTGGATTATTACCACTTACATCAGTTTCAAAAGAGCAGTGTCGATTTAGGCTTAGACAAAGTGTTCACAAATTCAAATGAAACTGATTCAAATATTGTAGAAGGCTTGTCCAGGAAGGAATTTTGATTCAGAATGGATCCTGATTCATAGAATGAATCACATTCCAATCACAGACTTAGCCTAGATGTTAACCACATGAGCTTGGCAAGAACAGAACCTGCAGGCTTCTGTCTTTTCTAAGTCCTGAAATGCACAAGTTAAGATAAGCTGATCCATACTAATGGTTCAGCAATGGTTGTAATGTACTAATAATCATGAGAAATATGAAATAGATGTAGTTTTGCAACAACAATACTGTTGGCTGTGACTGATGTGTGGTGGTATTGTATCAGGTGATCCAGGTACTTTTTACTGGTAGTAGTTCTGTGGAGAGCAGCTGAGGGAGCAGTTGTGTGCTTTGATTGGACTAGCACTGGTCATTGACTTGTCCATGGGGAATGATTCCTCTCAACATCGATGTGGGAGGGATGACCACTAGAGCTATGTTGTTGGCAAAATAATTGTTGTGCCAGGACAAATGGTTTGTGCAAACAATACAGAAAGTAATTGGTATGGCAGGTATGGTGTTCTGTTTTGTAGACAATCTCACAATAGCCAATGGAGGAGTCATTGGAACTTTATAATGGTCACATATGAAAAATGCTGGTTTTGGGCAGTCAATCATCAATGGAATTCATTCCAATAACTGCTGTGTTTTACTTATGAATGTCAGCTGTGGTGCATTGGCCAGAAGGTGGCTGTTTCCTTCCAAATCCATGGGATATGTCTAGTTTGCTTGCCTGTCCTGGAGAATGCTCTAGACATTAAGGATTTTTACAGGTCTTTCCAACCTGGCAGTCACATCAAACAGTGATGTGTTAATTAACCAGACCTTTTTTGGTAACTGCCCTAATAGATTGCATGTGTAGCTTCAGATGTACAGCATTTGCTGAGCAAAACTTGTTTGGACCCTGGACACTGCTTAAGTTGTGCTATTCTGGCTCAGTGGGTATTGCCACCAACATTTTTGGCCAGTATTGTTTGTGCCTTGTAATGTTATCACCTGTCTTGTGCCAACCTGGTACCATGTGGCTTGTAGCCATGACACCTTTGTTGTCAGCATGGCTAAATTATCACAGCCTTGGATGTTCTCACACAGTCATTCATGGGCAGGAAGAGGAATACTTTTGTGAGATGTCCTTACTTCTTGCTGGCTTAGTTATGCATGCATCACCACCAGCACATCATGGGTACCCCAGGCCCATGAAACACCCTCTATGCTCCTGGTTGCAAATTTCTGCTCATGTGCCACTTCTGCCATTAGGCAAGACCTGTGGAATGATATCTGGCATGCCCAGTATCTGTTGAATAAAGTTAGCACCAATTGAAGAGATACTAAGTGAGTTCTAAGAAAAATTACAATAGATTGGCCCTGGTGAGATGTCTATCAAATGATGCTAGTCTTCAGTGAAGATCGCCTTTTTTCATTGGAGTCTGTCATGCCTAAACCTTGGCTGGAGATGTTCACAAACTCTTGCTGAATGCTATCAGTGTCTTGAGTTTTTTCTCCTGGTAAAGTGAAGTGTTAGCCATATTTTCAGGCGTGACACAGGTGATTGGGAACAACACATCCTCAACCAGCATTGTGACAGACTTGCACTGGAAGGAATATCTTGAAAATTCTGAATGCCTCTCCCTCTCCCATGTTTGACTGGGGGTGAAATCCCTGGTTCAGGCTCAGGTTTGTGGTTCAGTGCCAGGTGTAGCCAAACTGCCTTTGAGTGAAATCAGTCCCCAAACATCTGGGGCTGAGCTAAATGCCATGCACTGCTTGCAGCGCAATATGCTCAAGCTGTGACCTGTTTACAGTGGCCAAGAAACATTTATCTTGGGGCAGTAGTGGCAGTGCTTAAAGTGTCCCACGCTGGACCTGAACGTCTCGGGTTCGGGCCCCAGCCACGCCGCTGTCGCATCCCACATGATAACATAGAAAAGGCGTGGAGCTCTGAATGGCCTGTGGCAGTCTGCGAGGCATAAGTATCCAATGTTTATTGAATGCTGACCTCCTAAACAATCAAATACAGCGGGAGGCTTGCTATCTTCAAAGCCCGACATGTCAGGTATTTGACACCGGCGTTTGGTCGATGTCGTCACACATTTACTAGAAGCGAAAGTCGATTGCGCTGTAGAAAGACGCCTGTGGTCATCGTTCTCCTGCCAATGCACTGGCGTTTGTAGCCGGCGTACCCTACTACCACGCCCTCGCGCCAGCAATCTCGCACGCTCGGTGCCGTAAGCTGTTGCATATCCAAAGCACGTGTGACGGCGGACTTGTCCCCCCGGTGACAGACACGGTGACAGGCCGCACCAGCCGAGCGCGGTGCTACCGCCCGCCCGGCAGCGGCCCAGCCAGCCTCAGGCCTGAAGGCTGCTGGAAACTGGTGCGCTTAGCGTCTGGATTGGGCTCAGGTGGAATCACGCCAATGCTGTGTACTGCCGGAGGTGTGGGCCGCGGAACGCGACTCTCCATGCTGCGGGCAGGCGGGGCGACAGGGCGTACAACGCACGCTTGGCTGCAACTACACGGCGCGCCACAGCGCTGCGCGATTGCAGCCGGGGAGCGGGTGTCGTCCGAAGCGCTGACTGTGGCGGTCGTCGACAGATGGCAGCAGCGCGCCGGCGATGAGCGGCCAGCAGCAGCAGCGGGCGGCGTCCGAGTCGCGCGGCGCCGGCGCCGGCCTCGGCATGAACATGAATAGCCCGTACGGCCAGCACATGGCCGGCAGACCGCGCAGTGAGTCCTCGGCGGCTGGGGTCGCAGGTCACTGCGGCAGGTCACAGCGGGTCGGCCGTGGGAGGGCTGCTGGCGTGTCAGGGGAGGATGTCGGACCAGCAGACGCTCGGCGCAGCCACCGACGGGGGACATTCTACCCTGTAAGGTGGTGAGGCACGTTCTCCGAATGTGTGGGAAAGTGCGTGCTTCGCGCACAAAATGTCACGTGCACACTGACATGTGCCCGCTGAAGAATCATTGCCGCTGACGAGTCGTATGGCGCTGACTAGTCATGTGGCCGTGTCCTCAGGCATGAACGAGTCGCGGCTAACCCCCGGGCCGGGCGACGAGCCGTCGCTGTCGCCGCAGGACTACAACCTGCAGCAGTCCAACCTGGCGCTGCTCCGGGCCGAGCTCAAGGTACGGCGTCCCCTCCCGTGGCCCCGGGCCGAGCTCAAGGTGCGGCTTCCCCTTCGGTGGCCCTGGGTCGAGCTCAAGTTATGGCACCCCTCCCGTGACCCCATGCCGAGCTCAAGGTATGGCACCCCTCCCGTGACCCCGGGCCGAGATCAAGGTACGGCTTCCCGTGCCGTGGCCTGGCCGGGGTCGGTCGGACTGCCGCCGCCGCTCTGTTGATGCCGTCTCCTGTCGCGTGGTAGCCAGGGGGCGGTGTGGCCTGTGGCTGCGGTGTCTGGCGACAGCCGCCTCGACAGCGATCCTCCGAGGGCGGACACCTTCGGGGCGGAGGGGTTTCTTATGTGATGGCGCCCTAGTGCGCGCCATCGTCTGGGGTTGTGTTGAAAGGCGTCGCCGTCTTTGCCCGCGGTGTAATGTGCTTTCATTGCGGCTTGCACGGAGCCGCCGTGTTTCCGTGCCATGTGACGCACGGTGAGGGCCGGTCTCGCTTCGGCCCGCCGGACGAGCGTCCGGTACGCCCCGCGGCGAGTCCACGGCTCACGTTACAGGCCGGTCTTATGTACACGGCACCACATCGGCGACCGCGCCCGTGCTATGGCGGCAGACCGCAGCCCTGCCGGGGGTTAGGACATGCTGCGTGACTGGTGGAGGTTTTGGTTCTGTATTGCGCACGCTTGGTCCGCGACTGCACATCTGGTGTGACTCGGTACGGTGACACCCGTTGTGGACCAGGGCCTACCTGTCATGAGTTGCCCCCCCCCCCCTCCCCCTCTTCCTGACCCGTTGCCCTTTGTGCGGCCACGACGTAGCCGTCGGTGGCTACTCTCCCGACATTCGAGCCGGGACTGACCGGTCGTGCCGATGTGACCCCGACACGCCCCGCGGTGACACCTCCGTGCGGCCCTCTGACCTCCCGCCCGGCCGCGAACCCTCGGCGCTCCGCTTGGCGTCCCGCCGCTCTGGCCTCGGCCTCACCTGAGCCCGCCGCCGGCCGGCAGCTGGTGACCCAGGAGCGGGACAGCTTGCGGAAGGAGCTGACCAAGACGCTGACGGAGCGGGATGTGGCGCTGCGGCGGCTGGGCGCTGCCTCGGCCAGCTTCGACGCCTCTACGAACGAGGACATGCCCGGCCGCTACGGCCAGCTGTTCCTGCACCCGGGCGCGGACAGCACCGCCGCCGCCTACGGTGAGCTGACGGGCGGTGGCGGCTCGGGTTCGAAGCCGGCTCGCGGCAGGAGTTTTGCCGTCGTTCGCGGCGATCGGCGCGCAGCGGGGGCCGCTGATTGCCCTGAGGGTCTGGGTCGGGTCGGAGCCCCTCCGCGGCGCTCGAGTGGGAGGATGGGATGGCGCGCCGGCGCGCGCGGGAGGGGCGTAGAGCGCTGCCACCCGCGTGTTGCGCGGGCCGGACGGGATGGGGGGCCATCGCCGGCCCCGCGCGGCCGGAGGGACGGACAGAGCTGCCGCGGCGGGGCACCTGCGCGCGCGAGCTTTGTCTGTTCGAGGTGACCTGTTGGGCGTGTCGATTGTGGAGAGAGTCCACCGCTCCGTACGGTTGGGTCGTGGTTGGAGTGGTGACGGCATTGGCGCGCCGCGCGGAGCACCGCACTGACGCCAGTCTGGACGGGGTGAAGCGGGGTGCGACTGTGAGTGACTGAGTGTCGCCCGGCCGCCGCAGCCACGTTGTCGCGCCACAGCAGCCCCAGCATGGAGAAGTGGACACCGCCCGGCTCCAAGGAGCATGAGAAGCTCAAGCTGCATTACGAGCGCGCCATCCTGGACCTGCAGACGCTCAAGAGGTCAGGCCCGCACGTGTGCCGGTGCCGTGCCAGGGGGAGGCAGCAGTCCCCGCTGGTGCCGTGCGGAGGCGTGTGGCGAGCACGGCCGAGGCTGTGGTGATAGGGGCCTCTACAACAGCCGTGCGTGGGGCGTTGTTTTGTTCGAGCTTTGCTGCGGAGATTGGGCCGGGCCGTTGCGTGTTTGCCATTTGCTCCAAAACAGGTGTTCTTAACTGGCATACTGTAATCGTCCTAGACCACGGGCTTAAAAAGCTACCCGACGCCCGGTGTGTGGGCCTCACTGGCCGGCGTCCGTGAGGGTGGTCAATAGCCGCCCTCTCCGCCTGCGAAACACCGCCAGGCGATGGCCAGCTCTCGCCACGCTAACCATTCGGCGTGTCACCTGGTGTTCTCGTCAGCTGGCAGCGGCGCTGCTCGCTGTCCGGTGCCCGGCCGGCCGGCCGGGCACCCGCCCTCCGAGCGCGGTCAGGCGTCGCCGCGCGCCGCCAGCGACGGCCCTGTCCAGCCCCACCCACCCCGCCCCGCCTACAGGCAGCTGAACGAGTCGCAGCGTGCGTGCGAGGTGGCCAAGCGGGAGGCGGACAGCGCGCGCGGCAAGCACAAGGTGTCGCTGGGCAAGCTGGAGGTGCTGGCGGCCGAGGCGGGCTCGCTGCGCTCCCAGTTCAGCGTGGCTAGCGCCGAGCGCGACCGGCTGCAGCTGGAGCTGAAGCGGCTGCAGGCGCTGCTCGACACGACGGACAGAAGGAAGGTGGGTGGCCGCCGGGCTGGGCTGTGGGCCGGCGCCCGACATAGACAGGAGGAAGGTGGGTGGCCGCCGGGGTGGGCTATGGACCGGCACCCGACACAGACGGGAGGAAGGTGGGTGGCCGCCGGGCTGGGCTGTGGGCCGGCGCCCGACACAGACGGGAGGAAGGTGGGTGGCCGCCGGGCTGGGCTGTGGGCCGGCGCCCGACACAGACAGGAGCAAGGTGGGTGGCCGCCGGGCTGGGCTGTGGGCCGGCGCCCGACACAGACAGGAGCAAGGTGGGTGGCCGCCGGGCTGGGCTGTGGGCCGGCGCCCGACACAGACGGGAGCAAGGTGGGTGGCCGCCGGGCTGGGCTGTGGGCCGGCGCCCGACACAGACAGGAGGAAGGTGGGTGGCCGCCGGGCTGGGCTGTGGGCCGGCGCCCGACACAGACGGGAGCAAGGTGGGTGGCCGCCGGGCTGGGCTGTGGGCCGGCGCCCGACACAGACGGGAGCAAGGTGGGTGGCCGCCGGGCTGGGCTGTGGGCCGGCGCCCGGCACAGACGGGAGCAAGGTGGGTGGCCGCCGGGCTGGGCTGTGGGCCGGCGCCCGACACAGACGGGAGCAAGGTGGGTGGCCGCCGAGGTGGGCTGTGGGCCGGCGACGTCGCTTCTGGTGGGCGGCGTCGGAAGCGCGCGGGCTCTGCCACTCGGCACGGCGATGGTGCGCGCGCTCGGCGGCGCCCGGGCCTCCCAGCGACCGCCGTTGAGGGCGGCCAACTGGCGTCCGGGACGGTAGGCCACGCTGAGCTGTCTGAGGCTGCCCTGGCACCGGGTCACGCCCGCCTGCTCGGCTCTGGCCTGCTGCAGGATCGGACGACACCTCACCTGGATCTGACGCGCCGGTCTGACTGGGGTTGGTGTGCATACCGACCCTGACGGTCCGGATCTGACTGATCGGATCTGGTCTGGCTGACCGGATCTGATTTGGCTGACCGGATCTGGTCTGGTTGACCGGATCTGCTCTGACTGATCGGATCTGGTCTGGCTGACCGGATCCGATCTGACCAGCGTCTGACTGGCGGGATATGATCGGCCTGGTCCGATGTGATCTGACTGACGCGTCGTGTGCTCACTAACTGGACATGGTCCGGCTGACCCTGACCGGGCTGACGCCGACCTCGACCGGACGCGCCGGCAGGACGCCGGCGGGAAGGAGGCGGGCCCGGTGGACGCGGCCCAGCAGTCGTACCGCAACGCCGTGTACAAGTACGAGACGATGCGCGAGGAGTACGAGGCGCTGCGGAGCCGGCTGGACGATGTGGTCGCCTCTCACTCAGCCGCCGTGAGCAAGCTAGAGCTCTGTCAGGTGAGTCGGCGGGGGCTTTTGGATGTGAGAGGCTGCGTTTTCACGGGTGAGCCGACTGGGCTCCCATGGGCGAGTTGGCTGGAGTTGCGCAGGCGGGAGTCTGGGACTCAAAGGTGAAGAGGTCGAACCCTCAAGTGACAGCGAGCTGGACTCCGTGGGTTAGTCTACGACTCGCACGCGTGAAGAGGCTGAATCCTTGCTGTTTAGCAGACCGGGGTCGCACAGGCGAGCCATTGGGGCTTCTCAGGCATGAGCACCTTACCGGGCTACCAGCACCACGCACGTGCTTAAATACCCGAGCGATGCCTGTTGGCGACCTCCCACCTGCCTGCGGCTTCCGAGAAATCGCCTCAAGAGCTCCCTGCGCCCTGCATGTCCTGCATGTCCTGCACGTTCGCACATCCCGTACGCCCGCACGTCCTGCACGTCCGCACGTATTGCACGCCCGCACGTCCTGTACGTCCGTTCGCCCTGTACGCCCGCACCCCCCGCACGCCCCGCACGTCCACACGTCCTGTACGCCTGGCTCCAACCTATTTACCTCTGAGAGCCCCAGCCTGCTCTCAGGAGGGTTCGGCCTCTTCGTGTTAGAGGGTCCGGCCTCTTAGTAAGCATTAGTCCCAGACTTGTCCGGGCTAGCACCAGCCCGCCGAAGTCAGCCGTCCCCATCCGCACTCCATGCGCGCGCCAAGCTCGGGGCTGGGGTCGGGCGCGGCGCGGCTGTCGGCCCGCCGCTGGCCGCTGTCGCCGCACTGCCGACGGCGCGGGCTGGGCAGGGCGGCGGGGACTGACGGAGGTCGCGAGCGTGGTGTCTGGCGCGGTCGGACCGCGCCGGTCGACCCCGTGACCCATGACCCCATGACCGCGTGACCCATGACCTCGTGGCCGTGGCGACTTCGGCCCGCAGGAGGAGGTGGGTCGACTGAAGAGCCAGCTGGAGGAGGTGCTGCAGGAGAAGGGGGCGGCGCTGCGCGAGCGCACGGCCGCCATCCGCGAGCGGGACGGCCTCAAGCAGCAGTGCACGTCGGCCATCCGGCAGTGGGACAACGCACTCCGGGAGCGCAACGAGTTCAAGGACGCGCTCATCAAGGTGGGCCGAGCACCAGACCGTGGCGGTACGGGGATCGCACCACTGGTGGCGGTTAGAGGGGGAGGAGCAGGGGGGGATCGGACCGCTGGTGACGGTTGGAAGAGAGGGAGGAACAGGAGGGGATCGGTCTGCTGGTGACGGTTGGAGGAGAGGAAGGAGCAGGAGGGGATCGGTCTGCCGGTGAGAGTTGGAGGAGAGGAGCAGGAGGGGATCGGACCGCTGGTGAGGGTTGGAAGAGAGGGAGGAACAGAAGGGGATCGGTCTGCTGGTGAGGGTTGGAGGAGAGGAGCAGGAGGGGATCGGACCGCTGGTGACGGTTGGAAGAGAGGGAGGAACAGAAGGGGATCGGTCTGCTGGTGACGGTTGGAAGAGAGGGAGGAACAGAAGGGGATCGGTCTGCTGGTGAGGGTTGGAGGAGGGGGGAGGGGGGACAGGAGGGGAGGTGGGGAAGCAGGGCGGCGGTCTTTGAAAAAAAAATGTTGGTGACTGAACAATCTCATGCATGAGTGGTGGCAACATCGCTGTGGTTGGTGTCGTCGATAATTGCAAACGTACCTCTGGTTCATTTGAATTCTGATCGTTCGATGTTGAAAACTTGCATTTCTGCGGGCGTGCGATAAGGTTGACTATCGTTCCTGCATCTGGAGGACCTAAACGGGAGTAAACGTTTGTCCTGTTTGGCGGTAGTTCTCCTTCATGTGACCTTTGCTTTGCTGGAGCGGTGCTGCAGTATCACAGAGTGTGCAGCTTCTGTCAGTCCGGACGGTGCTGTCGCCTCGCGCTTCCGTTGGTGGTGCAGCACTCTCTTGAAACCTCCGCTTCTCTCGAGTGTCTGCTGACGGCGGCAGCGGCCGGGCCCTCCGCATTCCGCCGACCGGAGGAGCGCGTGCGATCCCGCCCCCGCCCCCCTCCCCTGCCCCTGATCACCGGCCGCGGTTGCCTCGCCGGCAGATCCAGCAGAAGCACGAGGATGCCAACAAGGAGGTGAACGAGGCGATGGCGCTGCGCATCAAGGCCGGCAAGGAGGTGCGCCGCCTCACCGAGGAGCGCAACACGGCCACCGTCGAGATCAAGTGAGGCGCGCGGCCGGTCCGGACGGCGGGCCGGCGCTGGGTGCCGGCAGGCCCAGGCGCCCGGCCGGTCCGGACGGCGGGCCGGGGCTGGGTGCCGGCAGGCCCAGGCGCCCGGCCGGGCCGGACGGCGGGCCGGGGCTGGGTGCCGGCAGGCCCAGGCGCCCGGCCGGTCCGGACGGCGGGCCGGGGCTGGGTGCCGGCAGGCCCAGGCGCGCGGCCGGTCCGGACGGCGGGCCGGGGCTGGGTGCCGGCAGCCCCAGGCGCCCGGCCGGTCCGGGCGGAGCGTGTGCGGGCGGTGCTGGGTGCGGTTCGGCGTTGGGGCGTGGGTTTCTCGTGCGGTGTCCCGCGTCCGAGCGTCCGGCGGCCGGTCGGTCTCGGCGGCTCAACTCGGTAGCGGCCGCGGTCCTCGCCAGCGGACCGCTCGGTCTCGGCGGCTCAGCTCGGTAGCGGCAGCGGTCCTCGCCAGCGGACTGCTCGGGATCGCAGTCTCACCGAGAGCGAAAACGATTCTCAAAGTTTCACGGAGGCGAGAACGCTGCCGCCGCCGCCGCCGCCTAAGTGAACCGAGCCGCCGGACAGTTTGGCGCCAGCCTGGCTACCGGGCAGTAGTGCTGATGTTGGCTGGGAGCCCCGAGCCCCCCTGGAGGCCCCGTCCCTGCGGCCCGAGGCCACAGGGCGTCTGGGGCCGAACCGTCGCACCAGCGCGGTTCGAGGATGTCTGACGTGGACAGCGGACTGGAGGCGGGACAGGATATGCTCAGTGTCGGCAACCCAAACAGAGAACAGCAAACTTGGTAGTCCGCAATCCGGCCCGAGGCGCGGCGGGTCGGCCGCGCACAGACGTGTGGTTTTGGCAGGGTTATGTGCACCTACTGATCGCCTGCGATTCCGCAGCCGAATCCTGGCCGAGCGGGACACCGTTCACAAGGAGATGGAGCGGCTCCAGGAGGACTGCACGGCGGCCGAGACGCGCGCCAAGGAGCTGGAGTCCAGGAACAAGGACCTGACGTCAGAGGTCGGTGTGACGTCACCCATGTGAATGAGGTCACGTCTCATGCTGCGACATCAATCACCCCAAGTGCTGAACTGTGACAACGGCGGCGACGCGCACGCAGCGCCACGGCCTGAATATGTCATCTGCGTGAACTGTATAAATCTGAGTAGATTATGAATCAGCTTGGTGCTTGAGTTAATGTGGCCTTGACCCTGACCATTGGCCAGCTGGGGTCGCTCCGACGGCAGGTCAGCTCGGTCCTGTAACCTTAACCCTGACCTTGATCCTGACCGCTTACCAGCTGGAGTCACTCCGTCGGGAGATCAGCTCGGCCCTGTAACCTTGACCCCAACCCTGACCGCTCGTCAGCTGGAGTCGCTCCGACGGCAGGTCAGTTCGGCCCTGTAACCTTGACCCCAACCCTGACCGCTCGTCAGCTGGAGTCGCTCCGCCGGGAGATCAGCTCGGCCCTGTAACCTTGACCCCAACCCTGACCGCTCGTCAGTGGATCCGCGGAGATCTCGGCCCGAACCTGCCCACCCTGAGCTCGACTGAGTCGCTCCCCGGGGTCAGCTCGGCCCTGACTGAGACGCTCGCAGATGGCTCCGCCGGAATCTCGGCTCCCGGAGCGGGACCGGGCGTTCCGGCGCGCCTACGAGCTGAGGGACCAGCTAGGCGCCGGACACGACGCGCCCAACAAGAGCAGCTGGAACAGCAACATCAACAGCTACGACAACATCCAGCAGGAGAGGTGTGCGGCCGCCCTGGCACGGGCACCCAGCTGCACAGACGGACTGGATGCTGTGCAGCAGTCGGGTGGGGCAGGCGGGCGCAAACGCTTTTGCCTGCCTGTCAATTAGCACTGGTTGTGCTAAAAAATGGTTGGTTATTTCTCGCTAATTGAGGAAGGCATATTTGTCTTTGGGGAAACACCCAAAGGCATTGTTCCAGTGTTTAGTGTTGTCAGCATGGCCTTGAGCGGGATGTGAGCCTACCACGGCGTGCAGCGTTAAACGGTGGGCCCACCGAGACGTGCGCCGTTGTACGCGCCCGCCGGCGGGTGCTGTTCTTCGCCTGGCGCGGCGGGACGGCGCCGGGGCGTCGGCCGACCCGCCGTGACGACGCCGCTCCCGCCGGCCGCAGGACCAAGAGCAAGGACAGCCTGGACTCGGGCCGCCTCTCCGACTCCAAGTCCTACAAGGAGCGGCTGGACGACATCGACACGGCCAACGTCGAGGTGGAGAAGCTGCGCAAGCTGGTGGAGAAGCTGCAGCAGGAGCTGCATGGTTAGTTGATGACGTTTAGGCTTTGTGACGCCGCAGCATCTGAGACTATGTGGCGTTGCCTGCCTTTCACCATGGCAGGAGGGGCGGGCACCGCAGGGAATGGAATTGTGTACCTCCGGTTTTCAAGACTCGCCGCTCAACCACTGGGCTACGTGTGCCCTGTGTGGCCGGGTAGCAACGCGTTAATGGCGTTCACAGTATTTCACGATGCGTTCGATTAAAGGTGTTTGACGTCATAGTGGGGTAATGTGTGCCATGCGACCGGCCCGGGTGTCACCGTTACAGCCGCCCGTGTGACCTCACAGGCGAGAGACGTGGCGCTGGAGCCGAACCGCTTAACGGCACCGGACCCGCCGGCGACTCCCGCCCTCTCGCCCCGTCTCCTAACGACAGAGACGCAGCCGGGCCCGTCGGGAACTCTTGCCCTCTCGCTCCGTCTCCTCCAGACAGAGGCGCACCCGGACCCGTCGGGGACTCTCGCCTTGTCGCTCCTTCTCCTCCCAACAGAGACGCAGCCGGACCCGCCGACGACTCTCACCCTCTCACCCCCTCTCACCCTGTCACCCGTCTTGCCGACGACTGTCACCATCTCACCCGTCTCTCGACAGAGGTGCAGCCGGGCCCGCCCTGCGATTCTTACCCTCTCACCTTGTCTGCTCCCGACAGAGACGCAGCCGGACCCGCCGACGACTCTCACCCTCTCGCCCCGTCTCCCCCAGAGACGCAGCAGGAGGCGGAGGTGTCGAAGCGACGGCGCGACTGGGCGTTCGCCGAGCGCGACAAGATCGTGATGGAGCGCGAGAGCATCCGGCAGCTGTGCGACCGGCTGCGGCGCGAGCGCGACCGCGCCGTCAGCGACCAGGCCAAGGCGCTGCGCGACGCCGACGACGTGCGCAAGCAGAAGAACGAGGCCAACAAGGAGCTGAAAGACCTGAGGTAGGCCCGCGGTGGCGGACGGGGTGGGGACGTCCCCCGACCACGACCCACACCCCGGCAGGGCGGGGTCGGGCAGCGGTCGCCGGCTGTGTGCGTGTGTGGCCGCCGGCTGTGTGTGTTTGTGTGGCCGCCGGCTTTGTGTACGTGTGTGGACACCGGCTGTATGTGCGTGTGGCTGCCGGCTGTGCGTGTGTGGACACCGGCTGTGTGTACGTGTGTGGCCACCGTCTGTATGTGCGTGTGCGGCCGCCGGTTGACGGAGCCCGTGTTGGCTGTGTCGGCAGGGAGCACATGGAGCACTGTCACCTGGCGCCGTATTCGATGGCTGAGGAGGCGCCGCTGCTGGATCCTTCCGACCGTGCCGAGTGGGAGAGTCTGCAGCTGAGTCTGGACACGGTCAGTGGCGCCAGTCTGGACACGGTCAGTGGCGCCAGTCTGGACACGGTCAGTGGCGCCAGTCTGGACACGGTCAGTGGCGCCAGTCTGGACACGGTCAGTGGCGCCAGTCTGGACACGGTCAGTAGCGCCAATCTGGACACGGTCAGTGACGCCAGTCTGGACACGGTCAGTGACGCCAGACTGGACACGGTCAGTTACGCCAGACTGGACACGGTCAGTGGCGCCAGTCTGGACACGGTCAGTGACGCCAGTCTGGACACGGTCAGTGGCGCCAGTCTGGACACGGTCAGTGGCGCCAGACTGGACACGGTCAGTGGCGCCAGTCTGGACATGGTCAGTGACGCCAGTCTGGACATGGTCAGTGACGCCAGACTGGACACGCGTCAGGACGCCAGTCTGACACGGTCTGGCGCCAGTCTGGACATGGTCAGTGGACCCCAGTCTGACACGGTCAGTGGCGCCAGTCTGGAAACGGTCAGTGGCGACAGTCTGGACACCGGTCCGTGACGCCAGACACTGGACACGGTCAGTGGCGCCGTCTGGAACACGTTTCAGTGGCGCCAATCTGGACACGGTCAGTGGCGCCAAATCCTGGACACGGTCAGTTACGCCAGACCTGGACACGGTCAGGACGCCCGTATGGAACACGGTCAGTGTGCGCCAGTCCTGGATACGGTCAGTGGCGCCAATCTGGACACGGTCAGTGGCGCCAGTCCGGATACGGTCAGTGGCGCCAATCTGGACACGGTCAGTTACGCCAGTCTGGACACGGTTAGTGGCGCCGGACTGGACACGGTCGGTGACGCCAGTCTGGACATGGTGACAGACGCGCCGGTCAGAGCTCGCCTACGAAGCTGTGGCAATCTGGTGGCTGCGACGGCTTAGTGACCGAGTCCCCGACGCTAGTCCCTGACGCTAGTCCCCGACGCTAGTCCCCGACGCTAGTCCCCGACGCTAGTCCCCGACGCTAGTCCCCAATGCTTGTCTCTGTCGCTAGTCTCTGTCGCTAATTCCTGCCCCTAGCCCCCGACGCTAGTCCCAGACGCTAGTCCCTGCCCCTAGTCCCAGACGCTAGTCCCAGACGTTAGTCCCCGACGCTCGCCGCGGCGCGCTGACTGTCTCGAGAGGACGGTCCCTCAGTTCGCCGATCCAGATCGCAGCATCGGCGCCGCACTCCAGCGACGTCCCTCCCGGCTGTGGGAGGCGGGGTGGGCCTGACCGCAGCCCCCGTGTCCCTCCACGTCCCCCTCTCACCCGCTTTAGTGACGTCCCTCCCGGCTGTGGGAGGCGGGATAGGCCTGACCGCAGCTCCCGTGTCCCTCCACGTCCCCCTCTCACCCGCTCTAGTGACGTCCCTCCCGGCTGTGGGAGGCAGGATGGACCTGACCCCAGCTCCTCTGTCCCTCCATGTCCCGTTCTCGCCCCGCCGGTTCCGCTGCGTCCCTTTCGCCGGCCGTGCCCTGACGCGCGCCCTTCTGGCCGACCGACAGGGCTGCAGTTCGGACGGCCTCCGCGGCGTGGCGCTGAGCGGCGGCGTCGACAGCGACCGCGACTCGGACGGCGCGCGCTCCCCGCTGACGGTGGCCGCCGTGTCGGCCGACAGCGTGGCGGCCGGCCGGCTCATGCCAGGTCAGTGCTGCGGTTCGGGAGGCGGCCGGCGGCGGAGGTCGGGCGTCATGTCAGCCGGCCTTGTCGTGGGCGCTGGGTGTGAGTGTGTCACGCGTGTGTTGTCTTCCGGCCTGGGATGTCAGGGTGCTGCCCTGTTGTCACCTGTTGACATGTTGCATGCTGGGTTGTTGACAGCGGAACGCCTGTTGGTCATGGGTCGGAAGAAACCAAACTAGACATGGCTGGGCTGAAGTGACCTGGCTGTGACCTGGCCTCCTCTTTATTGTGCTGTGGCAGTTTTGACCGCACCGTGCCGCGACTGTGACAGAGCCGTGCTCTGACCGGACCCTGACCCGGCCTGCCTTGTTTTGCGCCGCGGTGTTTTCCTGATCGGACCGTGCCTCAACGGTGACCGAGCTGTGTTCTGACTTGACCCTGGCCTGACCCTGACCTGACCCTGATCTGACCTGCAGGCGATCACCTGCTGCGCGTGGACAGCCTGGACTGCGCCAACATGAGCGGCCGCCTGGTGCTGGACGCCATCCGTAACAGCGTCGGCCCCGTCCGGCTGCTGGTCCGGCGGCGGCGGCCCGTGCGCACCACACAGGTACGTCGGCCCCGCCCGGCTGCTGGCCCGGCGGCGACGGCCCGTGCGCACCACACAGGTGCGTCGGCCCCGCCCGGCTGCTGGCCCGGCGGCGACGGTCCGTGCGCACCACACAGGTACGTCGGCCCCGCCCGGCTGCTGGCCCGGCGGCGACGGCCCGTGCGCACCACACAGGTGCGTCGGCCCCGCCCGGCTGCTGGTCCGGCGGCGACGGCCCGTGCGCACCAAATAGGTACGGTGGCGGCACGGCCGGCGACCGCGCCCGGCCCGCGCCCGCCCGTGGTGGCCAGGGTTACGGAGCGCCCGGTGCTGCATGCCGCCGACGCGGTCCGCGTGCGGCTCCGGTGTGGCGTCTTGTCGCAGTGTGCGTATGGGTGTCCTGGAAGTGGAGATTTTATCATGATATGGGTCTGAGGCGGTGCGCGCACAGGTCCCGCCTTTGACACAGTTCCCCGTTGCAGCTGCTGCTGTCGGACCGAGAGTACCACGGCATCGGTCTGGAGCTGGTCCCGTCTCTGACACAGATCCCCGTTGCGGCTGCTGCTGTCTGACCGCGAGTACCACGGCATCGGTCTGGAGTGGGTCCCGTCTCTGACACAGTTCCCCGTTGCAGCTGCTGCTGTCGGACCGAGAGTACCACGACATCGGTCTGGAGCTGGTCCCGTCTCTGACACAGTTCCCCGTTGCAGCTGGTGCTGTCGGACCGAAAGTACCACGGCATCGATGTGCAGCTGGTCCCGTCTCTGACACATTTCCCCGTTGCAGCTGCTGCTGTCGGACCGGGAGTACCACGGCATCGGTCTGCAGCTGGTCCCGTCTCTGACACAGTTCCCCGTTGCAGCTGCTGCTGTCGGACCGAGAGTACCACGACATGGGTCTGGAGCGGGTCCCGTCTCTGACACAGTTCCCCGTTGCAGCTGCTGCTGTCGGACCGAGAGTACCACGACATCGGTCTGGAGCTGGTCCCGTCTCTGACACAGTTCCCCGTTGTAGCTGCTGCTGTCGGACCGAAAGTACCACGGCATCGGTGTGCAGCTGGTCCCGTCTCTGACACATTTCCCCGTTGCAGCTGCTGCTGTCGGACCGGGAGTACCACGGCATCGGTCTGCAGCTGGTCCCGTCTCTGACACAGTTCCCCTTTGCAGCTGCTGCTGTCGGACCGCGAGTACCACGGCATCGGTCTGGAGCAGGGCGTCTACATCGCGCGGATCCAGCCGGGCAGCGCGGCGGCGCGGGACGGCATGCTGGCCGTCGGCGACCGACTGCTCATGGTGAGCAGGGCCAGCAGCCGGCCGGCGCGGCCGGCGTCCGGCCGAGAGCCCGGCCTCGGACACGCCGGTCCGACCAATCGGATGGGAGAGCCAGTCGGGGACGATTGGGGGCTGCGGTGGCCGAACGCTAGTGTGTGTGTGTGTGTGTGTGTGTGCGTGCGTGTGCGTGCGTGCGTGCGTGTTGTGACGCGTTTTGCCCCTCTGTGACGCGTTGTGCCCCTCTATGACCCGTCATGATCCTCTATGATCCGTTGTGCCCCTCTGTGACGCGTTGCGCCCCTCTGACCCGTCGCGCCCCTCTGTGACCGGTCGTGACGCTTCGTGACCCTGTGACCCGTCGTGACCCTCTGTGACCGGTCATCACCCGGCCTCCTGTCGTCAGGTGAACGGTCGTGTGGTGGACCGCGTGGCCGGCGCCGAGGCGGTGGCGCAGCTGCTGGACTCGTCGGCCAGCCTGACCATCACCGTGCGGCCGGCGCCGGGCCTGGCCGAGCCGGCCGCCGGCTACGGCGGCCGCGGCCGCGAGCGGCTGTCCGGCGGCCAGCGGCTGCAGGGCGCCGGCTCGCCGGAGCGGCCCGCCGCCGAGAAGGTGCCCGCTGGTGGACACGGCGGGGCGCGCCGCGAGTGGAGCTGGAGCTGGGGCTGGGACCGGGACCGGGACCGGGACCGGGACTGGGGCTGGGGTTGGGGTTGGGGTTGGGGCTGGTACCGGGAGGGGGGTTGGGGCTGAGACCAGGACCGGGACTGGGAGCGAAGGCGGGAAGAGGGGGAGCGGGCAGAGGTGTGTGCACAAGTGCCGGCAATTTTGTGAAACGTCGGCTGCTTGCGACGTGAGATGGGAGTACCGAAGGCCTGAGAGCTGAAGGACCGTCCTGGCTGTGGCAGGCGTGGTCGAGAAGTGAGGCTGAGTGTGTGAGTGGGATGTCTAAAGTTGAATTTGGATCGCCCCGGGGGGGGGGGGGGGGATGGACACATGTTCGGAAGGCGTGCGTGCGGTCTGATTATTCCTGTCGAAGATGCCAATGCAAAGACATATTGAGTGAGCGGCCGGGAAGCGGAGGCTGTGAACGGCCTGGTAACTGCCGGCCGGTTTTGCCCCGCCCCCCCCCCCCCCCCCCCGTCGTGAGCTGCTGACCTCGTCTCGCCGTGCTGACGTGACTGCGTGAGGCCTGACTGAGCCAGCCGCGCCACCTCTCCGCTCTCGTCCGCCTCCTCACCGGGCTGCGCTCGGCTGCCGCCAGACGAAGAAGTCGGGCGAGGGCGTGCGTAGCCCGCTGGAGTTCGTGCGCGACATGGTGCGCGGCGGGCGCCACGGCAAGGAGCGCTCGGCGCCGCAGCCGCCGCCGCCGCAGCGGCGCATCGACGCCGAGACGCAGCACGTGCTCGACCAGTTCAACGCCGTGCTCGAGAGTGAGTGGCGCGCCCCGGGCACGGCGGTGCCGACCGGCCGCCGCCGGCTGACGGGCCGAGCTCTGACGGGGGTGGCTTGGTCTGAGGCGGGTGGGCGCCGGTACGCCGTGTAATCAGTGCTGTGTCGCGCTCGTGCCGGTGTGGCGGCAGTGGCTCGGCCCGCCGGCTGACGGGCCGAGCTCTGACGGGGGTGGTTTGGTCTGAGGCGGGTGGGCGCCGGTACGCCGTGTAATCAGTGCTGTGTCGCGCTCGCACCGGCGTGCGGCGGCAGTGGATCGGCCCGCCGTCCCCCAGCCGGTGGGGCCACACGCTGCCTGTGGGGTCACACGCTGGTGGCGCGCTGACCCTGTCCCGTCCCCCGCCCGTGTCCCGCAGGCAGCGAGAAGGCGGACAAGCGGCGGCGCCGCGGCAGACGGCGCGAGGAGCGGAACGGCACGTGGCCCAAGTACCGCGGCGGCGGCGGCGGTGGCGGCGGCGGCGGCGGTGGTGGTGGTGGCGGTGGCGGCTCCCCGGCCGAGTTGGCGGCGTTGGCCGGCGTCCCGCTGGCCGGCGCCGCCACCGTCAGCCGACCGGGCCGGCGCCGCGAGCGGCTCCCTCTCTCGGTGAGGCTCGGCCGGGACCGCGGCCGCGGCCGCAGCCGCGCGCGCCCTTGGCGCCGGCTGACAGCGCAGAGCGGAAGGTCGCCTCCGATGGCGGTCGTGTGTGGCTTGTGCTCGGGGATCCGGGAGGGCGCTGCTCGTGTTGCAGTGTGTGACAGTTGTTGTGTCGGCGGTCACTTCGAGCGGTGTTTCTGTTCGCGTCCGCGTGAGTCGAGTCCTCCCGCGTGAGCCGAGGCCGCTGTCTCGGAAAGGCGCCTGTGTGCCGTCCCAGCGGCGGCTGGCCGGCGCGGGCCGCCTGCCTGCACCGCGTGACCTGCCCCGGCCGCCGCCCGCCAGATGCTGGTGGACGAGCCGTCCAAGCTGGACAAGGCGTACGAGAAGAGCGAGGAGTCGCTCTCGTCACCGTTCGAGCCGTACTACCTGCTGGAGGAGAAGTACGGCGGTCGGTCGGCGGCGCCGCCCGGCCTCGGCGCCAGCCTGACACCCTCCGACACCAGCATCGACTTCAGCGTCAAGAGCGTCAAGCTCGGTCAGTGGCGGACGGCGCGGCGCCGCGGCCGCCTCGAGGCGGCATGGCTGGTGGACGACATAGCGGCGCCGGCGGCAGGCCTTGTGCTGGGTTAAGGTCATCTGTAGGAAACGACACGGAGAACGGTCTATGATAAGAACCATGTGGAGGCTATTCCGTGCATTTTTATGCGTAGCTCACGACAACTAGCTGTAGTGAAAGATGATGATCTTTTAAAGATTTCATCCGAGCCTTTTGAACGGATGGATTTCTGTGATCAGAGCTAATGCCAAGCGGTGCTTGTTTGGAGCCCTGGCCCGTACCATGCGATCGCGCAATTTCAGGTCAACGGCAGAATTTGCTGGCGAAATCTTAACGAGCCGCGATGCTCGACACGGTCCGTCCTGCCCTCTGACGTCACCTGACCTTTATCGCGACCGCTGCCACCGGCCGCAGGCCACACCTGTCGAGGGCCAATAGCGAGCGCCCAAAGCGACTCGAACCCACCCCGCCACGGGTGGGTGAATCGGAAGGCAGGCGCTCTGACCATCTGAGCCACCGGGTGCGAACATAGACGTGTCGGACAAAACATGGGTCGGGGATGATTGAAGGATGGATGAAACTTAAGTACCGGTCGAGGAGAGACCTGTTTTTTGCAGCGATGGCCTCTGACCTTCCCTTGAGCGAGCGGCGTCGCCAGTGTGACGATGTTAGATCCACACGGCCACGGGACCGCTGTTTCGCGGCCCGGCGCCACCAGGGACCCCGGCTACCATTGCCTGCGCGTCATCATGCCCGTCGCCCGCGCCGTTCGGCCTTTCGAACGCAATGTATTGCCTGTTGGACGATCGGAGTCAGCGCGGGACACTCGATGTCAGACGTTTGACTCTGCTCGGTGACGGACGGGCCTCGGGCGCCTACCTGGCGGCCGGCTGAGCGTCCAGAGCGGTGTTCTGCGGGCTGACGGGCGCCTGCCTGGTGGCTGGCGGTCGGCTCAGCGTCCAGAGCGGTGTTCTGCGGACTGACATGCCGGGAGTGAGCTTTAGCAGGGCATGTTGTGTTGGACTTTCGTCATGTGGCGCGTTCACGTGGTGCAAATGCTGCTTGGGTGGAGGTTGTACTAGCGTTGTCATGTGGTGCATTGTGGAGGGAGACCATGGTTCGGCTGCATCAGTCGTTTTCCTGTGTGCTCGTGCTGAGTGCAGGCGTGACACGTCGGGTTCCTAAGCTCTCGCTGATTTTATTCAGCCGAAGCAACAACAACAGAAAAACTGGTGGGGAGCGCGGTGTTAGGACGTCATCCGCCAAATATCATGCTCACCCCCTCCGCCCCCTGAGCAGCCGCCCCCAGCCATCTACCTCCCGCCGTTCAGCCGCTCGCCCCTGGCGACCCTCTCAGAGCCTTGCGACGCCTCTCGCCGTCTCACCGTCTCACCGTCTCACCGTCGCCGCGTCCGCAGACAAGGAGGGCCTCGAGTACTACGTCAAGAAGAGCGGCAAGTACTCGCAGTCGGACTCGGAGTCGAACTATCAGCCCGGTGGAGACGGGCTCGTCGCTGGCGGTCACCTACCACATGACGCCGGAGGGGGCGGCGGCGGCCGGAGCGGCGGCCGGCGCTGGCGCCGCGCCCGTCGCCGGCCGCGCCCACCTGCGCTCGCTCTACGGCTCGCCGCTCTCGTTCACGCCGCCCTTCATGCCCTACACGCACACGCACACGCACACACACGCGCCCACCGCCAGGTGAGTGATGGGAGAGGAAGGTGGTTTGGAGCGGTGAAGAATCTGTATTTGCACGTGCTAGGGAAGTTGAGCGCGGTGTGGTTGATTGCGGCTGCCACTGTCTGCTTATGCAGACCCCAACCGTTTGCGATGCACCTCAGAAAATGCAAGTATGCTAGCTATGTATGCTAGAGTTAAGGCCATGTTAAGGCTTTAACTGGAGTATGCTAGAGTTCAGGCTACGAGCGGCCGTCAGCGGTCCTTCGCCGGGCGGATTCGGTGCGCATCACGGACGCGCCCTACCAGCTGTGAACTTGTGCCGAGTGCCGGCGGTCTGGATGCTGGGCCGTCAGTGCCATGACTCCCTCTCACATCCTGGCTGTCCTGCGGCCGGCTCCCGTCGAGCCGGCCTGCTGCCGCGCTGCCCCGGCCGAACGCCGTCTGCCGGGTCCCTGTGTCGGCGCGCGAGGCCGCGTCTCGTGCCGGGCCGCCCTGGCTGACCGCCGTCTGCTGGGTCCCTGTGTCGGCGCGCGGGGCCGTGTCTCGTGCCGCGCCGCCCCAGCCGACCGCCGTCTGCTGGGTCCCTGTGTCGGCGCGCGAGGCCGCGTCTCGTGCCGGGCCGCCCTGGCTGACCGCCGTCTGCTGGGTCCCTGTGTCGGCGCGCGGGGCCGTGTCTCGTGCCGCGCCGCCCCAGCCGACCGCCGTCTGCTGGGTCCCTGTGTCGGCGCGCGGGGCCGTGTCTCGTGCCGCGCCGCCCTGGCTGACCGCCGTCTGCTCGGCCGCCGCCGCAGGTACTCGTCCCCGGTGCCCGTCCACCTGCCGTCGGCCTCGTCCGCCGACGAGCGCCGTTCGGCCGCCTACGACCCGACCTACGAGCCATCTGCCGGCGGCGGACACAACCTCTACTTGCACGGCCCGTCGCCGTCGCTCGACTACGGCGCCGGCTATCAGAAGCCCGCCTACCTGCAGCTGCCAGAGCACAGGCACAACGTCGGCAGCAGTGAGTGACCGGGGAACGGAGCTGCAGCGAGGAGGGGGGCGGGCCGTGCTGGCACTTGATCAGCCGTCATGGGACTGGGAGAGAGCGAACACGCCCCGCCCGCTCGGGCGTCTGTGGCATCCATTTCGGTAATGCCAGCTGAAAAAATAACTGATAACCCGGTCGAATATCCATGAGGATAGTATTGGAATCAGAAACCATGCTGGATACACGTTGCTGTGAGCGTATGACCATTGCTGTGATTACGTGGCCATTGCTGTGAGCACGTGGCCATTGCTGTGATCACGTGGCCATTACTGTGAACACGTGACCCTGTTGCGGTCACCTTGCGGAGAGCAGCTGGTGGACGGCGGCGCGGCGCTCTGCGGCGGGCCGCGCTGGCCGGCCGCCGGCGGGTGGTGACGCACCCCTGCCCGCGCCGCCGCCGCAGGGCAGGAGGGCCCGCCGCAGCAGCGGATCCGGATCCCGTCGGCGCCGCACAGCCGGCTCTCGTCGCCGGCCGGCCGGGCGCCGTCCAACACGTCCGTGACGTCGCGCGCGTCCAGCGGCAGCGCCGAGACCACGCCCGACCGCGACCACTGCACCTCGCCCAGTTTCAGTGTCGAGGTCAGCCAGCGCCCGCTCCGGACGGGGTGTGGCGGCGCCCTGCTGCCGTCGCGTGACGACCAGGGGTCGGGTGCGCTCGGTTGCTGGAGCTCGTTGTAGTAGCTATTAGCCACAGTTCCGATGGTCTATAGGCTAGTATGATGTCAAAAACTGATCGCAGTGTAGTGTGTGGTGTCGGGAAGGGATGTGGTTGTATAGTGGGTGCTGTGCTGACTTAGCTGCTTGGAGCTTCGAACAGTTAGGCTCGCTCCTTGGGAAGTTCGCTGCGGCGGCTGACCGTGCAGACCGTGGCTCGAGGGAGCCCACCGCGTCAGCGTGCTCGCTGAGCTGGTCAGTAAACGTCGTGTGTCGGTTGCGACGTGTGCCACTTTCAGCACACAAAATAACATGTGGGCATGAATCACGCTCAGACACTAGACGACAACCACCGACAAGATCACACGAGAGGACCCCCGCGCCAGCGCTGCCCGTTCTTCACGCGGCGTCCCAGCGCCCCCTGTAGCGCAGCGCCTGGGTGGCGTGCGCCGGCGGCGTCGCCGGCGTGGCGGGCCCGGCACCGGCCGCGGCCGCGCGCGCGTGCTCGCCTCAGCGCCGCCGCCCCGCCGCCGGCAGGTGATCAACCCGGGCGGCGGCGCCTGCTCGACGGGCGGCAGCTGGAACTGGCGCCAGAAGCCGCTGCCCGGCGAGCTGCGCAACATCGTCATCGAGCGCAGCGACAAGCCGCTGGGCATCTCCATCTCGTGCCTGCAGAGCGGCGGCGTGTTCGTCTCCGAGGTGATCCAGAGCAGCCTCGCGTCACAGGTCAACCTGCAGGTCAGTGAGGCGCCCGTCGGTAACGTCACTGTCGCCGTGGTGACGTCACTGTCGCCGTGGTGATGTCGCGGTCGCCGTGGTGACGTCACTGTCGCCGTGGTGATGGCACTGTCCCCGTGGTGATGTCACTGTCGCCGTAATGACGTCACCGGTGACGTCGCGTGGCGCACTGGCAGTACGCTCGTGTGGGTTCTGGAAAGAACGACAGCGATTCAGCTCGTTCGGTTTTTTTTTGCGAAGAGCGGGCCAATTTCCACGCATAATGTCACTGTCCTGCGAAACTGACTGGCGCGCACCGCATGCAGCAGAGTGCCCCTGGCCGATGGTGAGCACGACGGTCTCCACCCTGCTGCGGCCCGAGTCAGTGAACCCTGCTCTCGTGACGCGGCCTGGTTCTCGCCGCAGATCGGCGACCAGATCCTGGAGGTGTGCGGTATCAACCTGCGCACGGCCAACCGCCAGATGGCGGCCAGTGTGCTATCCCAGTGCGGCGACTCCCGCCGCATCCTGGTGCAGTACAACCCGGACCGATACGAGGTCAGTGCCGGCCCGCCGGCGGGATGGCGCGCCACGCTTCCGAGGCGCAGCGGCATCCGAACCTGTGCCGGGCCCGTGTACAAATATGCCAGTACAGCTCGGGAAATGTCAAGCCGGACGCGGCCTGGACGAAGGCGGCTCGGTCACGCGTGTGGCTGTGCCACGGCGCGAACAGCAAATACACGAGCGTACCGCGCAGGTCACGATTGGCAGTCACTTACGCCGCGGCTCCGTCTGCAGCGTGCCGCATTTTCACTCCGTTTCAATCTCGTGGAGAACCCAGAGCATGGGGCGTGAGGCGCGAGCTGTGTCGTCATGCCGCTGATCTCCGCTGGTCTCCCCTGCTCCGGTGGTCTCCCCTACTCTCCGCTGGTCTCCGCTGGTCTCCGCTGCTCTCTGCTGGTCGTCCCTACTCTCCGTTGGTCTCCCTTGCTCTCCGCTGGTCGTCCCCACTCTCCGCTGGTCGTCCCTACTTTCCACTGGTCTCCCTTGCTCTCTGCTGGTCGTCCCTGCTCTCCGCTGGTCGTCCCTGCTCCCCGCTGGTCTCCGCTGCTCCGGTGGTCTTCCCTGCCCTGTTTACTGTTGTTCTTTCCTTTTCTCCCCTGCTCTCCGTTGTTCATCGTTGTTCTTCCCTGCTCTCCGCTGTTCGCCGCTGTTCTCCCTGTTCTCCGATGTTCACCGGTCTTCTCCCCTGCGTTCCCGATGTTCACTGCTCTCCCCTGCTCTCCGCTGTTCGCCGCTGTTCTCCTCCGCTCTCCGCTGTTAGCCGTTGTTCTCACCTGCTCTCCGCTGTTCGCCGCTGTTCTCCTCCGCTCTCCGCTGTTAGCCGTTGTTCTCACCTGCTCTCCGTTGTCCTTCCGTGCTTTCCAATGTTCATCGCTGTTCTTCCCTGCTCTCCGTTGTTCGCCGTCGTTCTCCCCTGCTCTCTGCTGTTCACCGCTGTCCTTCCGTGCTCTCCGATGTTCACCGTTGTTCTCCGCTGCTCTCCGATGTTCACCGCTGTTCTCCCCTGCTCTCCGCTGTTCGCCTTTGTTCTCCCCTGTTCTCCGCCGTTCACCGCTGTCCTTCCGTGCTCTCCGACGTTCACCGTTGTCTTCACTGCTCTCCGTCGTTGACCGCTGTTCTCCGCTGTTGACCGCTGTTCTGCCCTGTTCACCGCTGTTCTCCCCTGCTCTCCGCTGTTGACCGCCATGCTGCCCTGTTCTCCGCTGGTCTCCCCCGCTCTGCGCCGTTCGCCGCTGTCCTCCCCGACAAAACAGGCCCGGACGCTGCTGAGCACAGCCCGCCCAGCTGCCAGCCAGTCGTCCGGCCTCTGTTACCACAACTGGAGCGGCCGGCTGCGTGGTGCCGGGCGCATGCGGACGTCGCTCCCCTGGCCCCGCTCCCACGCGCCCCGCTGGGCTGTCCCCGCCGCCAGCTGTCGCGCCGCTACGACACGCACTCGCGGCTGTCCAGCGGCCCCGAGGACGAGGACGACGAGGATGAGGACGAGGACGAGGACGAGGGGGGCGGCCGGGCGGCGCCGTCGCGCAGCGGCTCGCCCACGCCCTGCAACTCGCCCAAGCCGCGCCGCGACGACCGGGAGCGTGACGACCTGCCGCAGGTGAGGCCGCAGAGGGGAGGGGAGGGGGCACGACGGCGGGCCGATCTGCCGCGAGGGACGGCACAGAGGGGCCGGAGCGGGGATGACCTGGGGTGTCGGTATCACGGGGTTTGTACGAGCTGTCACCGGGGATGGGATTCCACAGCTGTGCCCCGAGTAGCGGCACCGGGATGACGTGTGGGGCGCAGACCCGAGCTTTCAACAAAGGGCATGGGACCAAAAATGCAAATCGTGTCGAGGAGTATCTCAGGTGAAGTTCGGTTTTTTCGCTTCTTGGTTCCGTGTTAAATCGTGTGGGCTGCCGTGCTTCTGCCTCTGACCTTTGATGGGTGGTCGCGCCTGCGTCGCGTGCGCCCATTGGTCGCAGTGACGCCGTAGCGTCCGCTGATTGGCCATCCCTGTCGCCAGTCGGGGAGCTCGACGCTGCGTAGTCCGCTATCGCTGGCGCCCAAGCAGAACACGCTCACGCGTCAACAGATGTCGCAGGTTAGAGGACAGGCCTGCCTTTGCCATGCGACGGCCGTTGCTTCGTGACGGCAGGAAATACGTGTAATACAATCCCGGTACGGTGTTCGTGTATCTGGCTATCGAGCCCGGTTGTGCGTGGCGATTTAAAATGAAAAGATTAATTTAAATAGCAGTCCATTGTGCCTCCGAAGGTGGGCTCGGTAATGCGTCGCCGGTTGTTGTGGATGCGGTCTCTAGCTTGCGACTCGGGCAACCTATACGACAGGGGTGGCGAACTGGGGAAAGGGAGGATCAGCTGTCCGCCATTCTCGGCAAATTCAGCCAACTTCTCAGCGTTGCTTGGAAGGGAGGGAGTTAGTCCCATTCGTCGCCGCCATGTCTTTCTAACTCCGGAGAATGCATTGCTGCCGCTGTGATGGCTGCGGATGGCCAGCGAATTGCCTGCCGGCTCGGTGACAGTTTGCGTCTTTGGCCGCCAGGTGGCCACGTCCCTGAAGCGCTCGGAGACGGTGAAGCGCTCCGATACGGTGAAGCGCCGCCAGGGGTCGAGCTCCGAGCCGCCGCCGCCTGCCGCTGTCCACAGGGAGACGCAGCACCACGTGAGTCCGGGGAGGCAAACAGGGAGTCCGGGTGGTCCACAGGGAGGTCCAGCACCACGTGAGTCCGGGGAGGCAAACAGAGAGTCCGGGTGGTCCGCAGGGAGACGCAGCACCACGTGAGTCCGGGGAGGCAAACAGGGAGTCCGGGGGGTCCACAGGGAGGTCCAGCACCACGTGAGTCCGGGTAGACAAACAGGGAGTCCGGGTGGTCCACAGGGAGACGCAGCACTACGGAAGTCTCGGATGACACGCAGGTAGACGCGGTCATACATGAGTCCTGGGAAGCCCTCGTGGAAACCCAGGACCACGTGAGTCTGGGGAGGGCGGGACGGAGGCGTAGCACCACTTACGTCTCGGCGTCATTGCTCTCCCCTCCACCGTTCCGTGACTGGTGGGCCTGCGCCGCCCGCGTCCACCCCTGCTCAGCGGCTGGCTTCTCTCGCCGTCACCGCCGCGCATGACCCCGCGCCCGCGTGCCGAGGCGGCCGCGCCGCCGCCGCCGCCCCGAATGCCGCCGCTGAAGCCGGCCGGCGCTCTGCGGCAGGACTCCTCCGACGAGGAGGAGGAGGAGGAGTCGGGCGCGCGGCTCGTCTACCTGGAGACGGCTAGCTCCGGCAACCTGGGCATCCAGCTGGTGGGCGGCAACGCGGTGGGCATCTTCGTGCACTCGGTGGAGCCGGCCAGCGCCGCCTGCGCCGGCGGCTTGCAGTGCGGCGATCGGATCCTGGAGTACAACGGCGTCGACCTGCGACACGCCAGTGCCGAGCAGGCCGCCTGCGAGCTGGCCAAACCAGCCGACAAAGTCAGCATGCTGGTCGTCAATCGCCACCAGCGTGAGTGACGGCGGGGGGTCCGGATACGGCCGGGGGGGGGGGGGGGGGCGTTGTGAGGCGCGGCGGAGCGATGTGAGGGTGGGTTGGTGTTGTCGGGGGCGGAAGCGTACCAGTGAATGCGGCTTGCACGTTGGCAGCCCAGAACGCACGTTGATGCCAGCACACCCTTCCAACACTTCGTATTGTGTTTTGTGATATTTATAAAGTAACGGATGTTGTATACGTTGGCAATGCTTAATTTCAGAGGTCATCAGCTGTTGTGCGTCCAGTTCAACTGCTCACAATGTCATGCTAGGGAAGACACCTCCGAAAAGACCATTTGTTTGGACTGGAACGAGCATTTGGCTTGTGTTTGACTTGGTTTTTAGCCTTTGGGCCTGGAGTTGAGCACTTTCATATTTCACAGAGCGGTCACGACCACCTTTGCTCGTGTTGGTGGGCCTGTTGTGACGTGTTTTGTGCGGACATGGTGTTACGCATCACAGTGGTACCTGGGGATGTTCGCGTGCGCATTGACTTACCGTTGTTACGCGTCGCGTTCGTGTTTATAACCCCGTGTTACACTCCGCATGTGTGTGAATTATCAGGCGTTGCGCGTCAGTTGCGTGTTCATCGCCCTGTGTTACGTGTCACGCGCGTGCGTATTACCCCTTTTCCGTTCGTTTCACGCCACGTGCATTTTGTACCGTGTCGCACATCACGTGCTTGTTGATTACCCCGTTCCGCCCTGGGTTGACTGGCGCATGGATGACCCGAGTTACGCGCGCCGCGCCGCGCTAGCCTGTCACCGACGCTGGTGGTGCCGCAGGCTACATGCAGGTGTACGACCAGCCAGGGGACCAGTTCTACATCCGGGCCCTGTTCGACTACCAGCCGGAGAGCGGCAACGGCACCGAGCTCAAGGTTAGTCCGGCTCGCCTCGCGCGGAGGCTGTGACTGACTGTGGCGGGCCCGCCGCGGCTGTAGGCTGTGACTGTGACTGTGACTGTGACGGGCCCGCCGCGGCTGTGGCTGTGACTGTGACTGTGACGGGCCCGCCGCGGCTGTGGCTGTGACTGTGACTGTGACGGGCCCGCCGCGGCCTTGGCTGTGACTGTGACTGTGACGGGCTCGCCGTGGATGTGACTGTGACGGGCACGCCGCGGCTGTGACTGTGACTGTGACGGGCTCGCCGCGGCCGTGGCTGTGACTGTGACTGTGACGGGCTCGCCGCGGCCGTGGCTGTGACTGTGACTGTGACGGGCTCGCCGCGGCTGTGACTGTGACTTGACGGGCCCGCCGCGGCTGTGGCTGTGTCTGTGACGGGCCCGCCGCGGCTGTGGCTGTGACTGTGACGGGCCCGCCGTAGCTATGACTGTGACTGTGACGGGCTCGCCGCGGCTGTGACTGTGACTGTGACGGGCTCGCCGCGGCCGTGGCTGTGACTGTGACTGTGACGGGCTCGCCGCGGCCGTGGCTGTGACTGTGACTGTGACGGGCTCGCCGTAGCTATGACTGTGACTGTGACCGTGACGGGCCCGCCGTAGCTATGACTGTGACTGTGACGGGCTCGCCGCAGCCGTGACTGTGACTGTGACAGGCTCGCCGCGGCCGTGACTGTGACTGTGACTGTGACGGGCTCGCCGCGGCTGTGACTGTGACTGTGACTGTGACTGTGACGGGCCCGCCGTAGCTATGACTGTGACTGTGGCTGTGACTGTGACTGTGACTGTGACAGGCTCGCCGCGGCTGTGGCTGGGTCTGTGAGGGGCCCGCCGCGGCTGTGGCTGTGACTGTGACGGGCCCACCGCGGCTGTGGCTGTGACCGTGGCTGTGACTGTGACTGTGACTGTGACGGGCTCGCCGTAGCTGTGACTGTGACGGGCTCGCCGCGGCTGTGACTGTGACTTGACGGGCCCGCCGCGGCTGTGGCTGTGTCTGTGACGGGCCCGCCGCGGCTGTGGCTGTGACTGTGACGGGCCCGCCGCGGCTGTGGCTGTGACCGTGGCTGTAACTGTGACTGTGACGGGCTCGCCGTAGCTGTGACTGTGACGGGCTCGCCGCGGCCGTGGCTGTGACGGGCTCGCCGTGGCTGTGACTGTGACGGGCTCGCCGTGGCTAGGGCTGTGACTGTGACTGTGACTGTGACGGGCTTGCCGTGGCTGTGACTGTGACGGGCTCGCCGTGGCTAGGGCTGTGACTGTGACTGTGACTGTGACGGGCTGGCCGTAGCGGTGACTGTGACTGTGATGGGCTCGCCACGGCCGTGACTGTGACTGTGACGGGCTCGCCGTGGCTGTGGCTGTGACTGTGACGGGCTCGCCGGGGCTGTGGCTGTGACTGTGACGGGCTCGCCTTGGCTGTGACTGTGACTGGCTCGCCGTGGCTAGGGCTGTGACTGTGGCTGTGACTGTGACGGGCTCGCCGTAGCTGTGACTGTGACGAGCTCGCCACGGCTAGGGCTAGGCGGACGAGCAGTGCGACTGCGGCGGGTCCGCTTCCTCCGGTGGATCGGGCCGGCGAGGCCTGTGACGGGCCCGCCGCCGCCCTCCCCTCCCCGTGCGTGACACGCGTTCACTCGGTTTCCTGGCGCGTGTGCCGCCAGTTCCACAAGGACAACATCCTGCTGGTGGACAACACCATGTTCAACGGACAGCCGGGGCTGTGGCGCGCCTGGCTGATCGACACGAGCGACGGGCGTAAGCTCAACTGCGGCATCATACCCAGCAAGTTCACGTGAGCACGGACAGGGCGTCACGGGGGCAGGGCGTGACGTGACGGCAGTGGCTTGGCATCTGGCGTGCCTGACCTATGGCCGACTCAATGGCTGGCAAAAGGCGTACGTGCCGGCTGAGCTGTTGCACGGTGTACTAATGTTTTGACAATTTGACAAGTTTGAATGCACGTTATCGCGTTATACAGGACTACTGTTGTAAGGTGCGCCAGCCTTTCGTGTGCACTTGTCTCGCGTTTCTGGCGTGCACCCGGTTCGCTGGAGTCACGAGGCCGCAGCACTCACGCGGTCGCGCCGCTCCCCCGCCCGCGCCTCACCTGGCCCCGCGCGTGTGCCCCCAGCGTCGAGGACCTGATGCTGAAGAGGTCCCAGGGCGACATATCGGGCGACCCCGGCCGCCGCAGCGCCGTCTCCTTCCGGCGCTCTTTCTTCCGGCGCATGTCCAAGCATCAGCGCTCGTCTAGCAGGTGGGACGCGCCCAGGCTCGTCCAGCAGGCCGCGCCCTCTGCCGGCCGAGCGGGGCGCCGCGGCACGTGGGGGTCTGCACGGACGCGGCCCGACCCGTGTCCGGGGCCGTGCCGGGCGCGTCGGACGCTGGAACGACGCGCACCCGCCGCCTGCCGTGTCGTTATCGTCTGCGCGCTGTCGTGCGTCTGGTCCGCGTTCGCGTGGCGGGAGTGGCGTCAGCTGAGGTGTCACGTGACGGGCGTGACGTCAGCAGTGACGCTTCACGTGCCGCGGCCGTTTCAGGGAGAGCAGGGAGCTGGCTAGCTTCAGCGACGTCAGCATTAACGAGTTCCCGCAGGAGCCGTCGGTGGCGGCCGACACGGCCATCAGCAGCTACCAGCGCGTGGAGCGGCTGGACAGCTGTGAGTGCCGGGGCTGCGGAGGAGACCGAGAGAGGGTGGGAGGAGACGTGCCGGGGCTGTGGAGGAGACCGAGAGAGGGTGTGAGGAGACCGAGAGGGGGTGGGAAGAGACCGAGAGAGGGCGGGAGGAGACGTGCCGGGGCTGCGGAGGAGAATGAGAGAGGTTGGGAGGAGACGGGGAGAGGGTGGGTAGGTGTGGGTCAGTGTAGAGAGGACGGAACAGTGTGACTGAGACGCGAGGGGGGGGGGGGGGGGTGTCGGATGGCCGTAAGTGGACGCAAAGCCAGATCGTTGTGACGAAGTAGGCGTGGTGGCCGAGTGGTTAACGCCTTCGCCTCCTGGGTGCTGGACCCTGGTTCGGGTCCCGGCGTCTTCGTATCCCCCCAAACGCTCATGTGACCCTTGCAGTCGCTGGCGTTCCATACAAGGCTGTGTACCAATGTCGATTGGTCGCGATCCGTTAGCGAAGGGTTGTGCTAGAGCGTTATATTGGACGTATAAGCTCGTGTTGGGATAGAGACCAGGGGGGCGTGAGCGGACCTGAGGGCACGTGTGGGTGTGAACGAGGGTGAAGGCATATGTAGAATGTGCGGATATAAGTGCAAATATACGTGTCCCCACGCGTTGTGGTGCGGGAGCCAGATGTCCCCCCCCCCCAAAGATCTGTGTCGGCACGACTACGTTTCGTGCTCGTTGTCTGTCCCCTTTGTCACCGTCTTGTGCGGCCGCGCCGGCTCTCCGTCCGGGGCCGGCCGTCAGACGTTTCCGTCCGTTCGGTGCTGGTGTGTTAACCGTGTCCCCCGAGTCTGGCCGTCAGGCGTCTCCGTCCGTCCGGTGCTGGTGTGCTAACCGTGTCCCCCGTGGCCGGCCGTCAGACGTCCCCGTTTGTCCGGTGCTGGTGCCCTGACCGTGTCCCCCGCGGCCGGCCGTCAGACGTCTCCGTCCGTCCGGTGCTGGTACTGGGCCCGCTCTCCGAGCTGATCTCCGAGCGGCTGTGCGCCGAGTACCCGCACCAGTTCGTGCGGCCGGCGCTGGAGGTGGTGCGCGCCCAGCAGGCGGCCATCGACCAGCGCGTGCAGCAGGCGGCCATCGTCGACTACCGACGCCGCGGCAGCCACTTCCAGGTGCTGACGGCCGCCGCCATCCGGGAGTGGTGCGACGGGGTGAGTGCGGACTCCGGCTGACGCGGCCTGGGGCGAGGGGGCCACCTGCGGCGCCACTCTTGGGACGCTGTGTGCTGGTGTCATGGCCTTCAATTCGCGTCCTGTCGGCCGTCATCGGCTGCCGCAGGCTGTGGTAGTACTTGACACGAAGGATCACTGCTCGCTACCTGGCTTCAAACGACTAAGAAGCAGAAGGCAGGTTTTGCAGCCGTGTGAAGCTGCGTTCTGGGGGTGCTGATAGTGCAGTGGTTGACGCGTCTGCGTTAGCCCCCGCGCGCCGAGAAACCCCGAGATAACGGGATCGATACGCCGCGACGCCCGCCTTTCCTGCTGGGGTGGAGGCAGGCGGCGCCGTACAGCGTCAGCAGCAGTGACATGGCACGGGGCAGCTGCGATGCTGATGCTGCGTGGCCGGCCGGCTCGCGACCCCGCCGGCAGTGCTGCTGCCAGCCGTGGCTACACGCTTCTCGTGACGCAAGGCAACGCGATGCGCCAGGGCGGCCGGCAATGATACCATCCATCCTTTACCACGTGCCTGACCACGCTCAGCCGGCACTGGCATCATAACCATACTGGAGCCGCGGACACTGGCATCCCAACTATACTGGAGCCGCGGGCACCGGCATCATAACCATACTGGAGCCGCGGACACTGGCATCCCAACCATACTGGAGCCGCGGGCACTGGCATCCCAACCATACTGGAGCCGCGGGCACCGGCATCCCAACCATACTGGAGCCGCGGGCACCGACATCCTAGCCATACTGACGACCTTACTGTGAGCCGCGGCAACGGCATCCCAACCATACTGGACCGGTGGGGCACGGAATCCCAAACCATACTGGAGCCGCGGGCACCGGCATCATAACCATACCGGAGCCGCGGGTATCGGCGTCCTAACCATACTGGAGCTGCAGGCACCTGCATCCTAACCAAAGTGGAGCCGTAGGCACCTGCACCCCAAACCATACTGGAGCCGCGGGCACCGGACATCGATAACCATACTGGAGCCGCGGGTATCCGGCAGGTCCCGACCATACTGGACGCATGCTAGGCATCCTGCAATCACTAACCATAAGTGGAGCCGTAGGCACCGGCATCCTGATCGTATTGGACATCCAAAGCACCGACATCCAAACCATACTGGAGCCGCACTACTCATGTCCAACACCCAACTCGGCTGCGGCGTCCCCTTCGCGTTTTGTCACGTGCCCGCGTGCTGCCCAGGCCACGCTCGTCCGTGTCAAAGGGTGTACGTAGCGCCGTTGGGCGGCGTCGGGCGGGAGCTGGCGGCATTCTCGTCTGGGGCCGAGGCCGGCCGGGGGTGACCACGGGCGCGCTGACACGCCGCCGTCGCCGCAGGACCGCCACTGCGTGCTGGACATGGACGTGACGCTGATCCCGCGCCTGCAGCGGCACCGCATCCACCCGATCGTGCTGTTCGTCCGCTTCAAGTCGGTCAAACAGATCCGAGAGGTCAGTCGGTCGGGGGAGGTCAAGGTCAGGGCGGCTCGGCCACGGCGGGCCACGGGAGGTCAGTGTCAAACGGACGGGTCAGGTTCGTGTTCGCTGACGGAATCGGCCGCCGTGTGCCCGCCGTCGGGGAGCTTGCCGGCGCCGTGGCGGCGCGCGCGCGCCTGCTGACGCCGTCCGCCGGCCCCCCCAGGTGCGCGAGTCAGTCTACCCGATGGAGAAGGCGTGCAACAAGGCGGCCAAGGACATGCACGTGCACGCCTGTAAGCTGGAGCACGACTACAAGCACACGCTGTCGGGTGAGTGGCGGCCGCTGTTGCCGCGTCGTCCTCGTCGCCCGAGGGAAGCTCGGTGAGTGACGAGGGGCCGGCGCGGCCGCCAGCAGCGCCGCGCGGGGCGGGGAGCCGGCCGCTCCTCGGGCCGGACCCGGGCCGGGCGTGCACCCGTTCCGGTGGCGTGGCGTTGAGCCGCCGTGCCGTCGGAGCGGTGCCGGGCTCTAGCCTCGGCCGCTACGGAGCGCCGCTCCCGACACGGCGGCCGGAGCGCGATGCAGGGCGGAGCCAGGGATGGGCTGATAAACTCACCTGGCAGATTTCGTAGTGACGTGCTGATGGTGCTGACCGCATGTGGTGAGTATGCCGACCTCTGGTTCCAGCCACGGTGCAGGGCGGCGGCAACATGGCCTACCTCTGCACGCAAGTGAAGGCGGCTGTTGAACAGGAACAGAATAAGGCGCTCTGGGTGCCCAGTGGCACCATCTAGCGGGTGGAAATGAAGCACTAGTGCAGCAGTTGCCGACAGACGGCGAGCGGCCTGGCAGTTACCAATACGCGCGTGTGCGCGCGATGCCCAGCGGACGGCCGGGGCACTGTGAGCGCATTAGATGTGTCGTAAGGTGTGTATATTGCATCACGAGAAGAAGACAGCTGGGTTTTGGGCTGCTCGTGACACCGACGTGAGATTCGCGTGGAGACACTATGCTCTCCCTGCTGTGACTGTCCTCAGCTGTATGGTGCCGACAATCACGTGCATGGTAGTGAGGGGGCGTTCCGCTTGCGGGGAATGTCGCGAATTTTTTACAGCGCGAGCGTCGTGGGACGTGCGTCAAGCTTTATCTTTGGAGCCTTATTGGAGAGACGAAGGGGCGGTGTAGCGGCCGCCGTCATGTATATTTTCGTATATGTTTGAGCTGTGTGTGATGATTACCAAAGTGCCGGCGCGTGACGCTGCGCGCCCGGAGGGCCGGCGCCGTCCGTGGGTGTGACGCCTCCGGCCTAGCGGTGAGACCTGGCCGTCGCCGGGGGTCCGGGCCCGTTCGCCTTGTGAAACCATGTCTTCCCACGCACTGTCCTGCTGCCTTCTACTCCGCCGTTTTGCACTTTGGGATATTCGCTGCTCCGATATTGGATACAATAGAGCCGGGGCCGGAGTAGTGTGGTTTGCGGCAGCGGTGGCGCTGGAGAGGCAGCTGCTGGTCGGACGCGGCCGATGGGGCGGGGCGCGGAGCCGGCGCCACCACGACCGTCGTGGTGTCGTGTCCCTGCCGTCCCCTGAACTCGCGCGAGCCGCTGCCGGCCGGGACAGGCGCGCTTGGACTGGGCGGCGGTGCCGCGTCGGCGATGAGCCGTCCACACCCATAGCCTGACCTTCCACTGCACCCGGACCTCGACCAGCGTCTTGGATCACAACCGGGACACGGATCACGAATGGGACGTGAGCCGGGCCGACGCCTGAGCTGGTAAGACCCGTGACAAAGTCCTGGCGCGGGCCTTTAATTGGATGGGACTGGGACCCGGTTCCGGGACCGGGACCGGGACGAGGACTGGGGCCCGGAGCTCGGCTCCGACCTGCACCGACGCCTGCGCCGCTGGCACGGTCCCGTAGTCGCTGAAGCTACCTAACCAGGCGAAGTGCCGGTGAAGCAGGTGTGAAATGGTGGCGGAAATGGCGCATCGCGTCCTGCGCGGAAACGAAATGAACAGTGGGACGTATTTTACGCATCCTCTATTTCAGGTCCTTGGAACTGTTTAGTGCAAGAGGTACGTTTGTAACACGTAATAACTTACTCCTTCTGGCGCGGAGAAGGTTAGATTCTTACTTTAGATCTTTTGGACATAGAAGGTAGATTCCTAGTTTTCTACACGTGTTTCGTCAGGTGACAGTCGGGAAATATTGTTACCATTCGGGTCCATCAGCCAGCACCAGGAATACGGAGAATCATTTAGCTGGTGCGTTTCACGTTGCAACTATATGCAACTTTATATGTGCACAGCACGTCGCATGTATGGTTTGTAACTACATCGGCGTTATTTTGGATTATCCGTGATCTAGGTTTTCGGATATCCACGTTAATTCAAAGAGGCAGTTCGTACAAACAAAACGGTGACAACACAAGTGTGGACTAGCACACAAATACAGATGTTAGGGGAAATCTATAACGTGCGTTTTCCGTAGTGCTAGGGCTTGGCGTACTCCAATACGCGTGTTAAGACACACTTTGTGCGAATAAAGCCGTGGCGATGCACAAGGTATGAGCGAGCGTGCAGACACTGGATATGGCCCCTTGCAAAATCTGGGAGATGAGGAAACTTCGCACCTTTGCGGGAACACGGCTTGGCGCCGGGCTAGCGCGCCATCAGACGGCGGCTATGGTTGACATCAACCATGTCTGAGTAGCATTACATGTTCCGTACACACAGATGCAGAAAGGGATGAGTGAGATGACTAGAGTAATGAGTGTGGCCTGGGGCAGAATGTGCCGGCTGTGTCTGAGGCCGATAAGAACGCCAGTGCATCGCCGCACGACGTCATCAGTGTGCGCAGTGAACGTCATGCATTGGTCAAATGCAACACCCAGGTTTCAAGCGGAAGCAGAGCTGGCTACAGTGGCGCCCATAAATTTGATGCTAGTCGGTGGCAGGTTCCGAAGATTTTGACGCGTGCCGAGGACTATGAGATGTGTTTTTTGTGCGTTAATTTTCATCCCGTTTTTGCCAAACCATTTGGACAGGTGTGAAAGATGTTGCTCCATGGATGTGCTCAGCGCACCAATGTCACCGGGCCTCCCACTCACTAGAACCTGCGTGTCGTTCGCGTACTGCACAATACATGCGTCATGAGCGTACAGCGGCATATCATTAGCATAAATGCTGTACAGCAGCGGGCCGACCGCTGAGCCCTGGTAGGTTCCGATCGGGTTGTGTAATGCCTCGGACAGAGAGGAAGCGCCACCTGGATTCTGGACGATAACCTGCTGAAAGTGGTTTTGGAGGTAACTCGCAAACCAACGTACACCAACATTGTACAGCAGGAGCTTTCTAAGGAGTCCATTATGTGGAACAACATCAAAGCACTTGGATAGGTCCAGTAGGCCTAACAAGGTGATTTCCCTTTGATCCATGACCTGCAAAGCTTTGTCGGTTACCGTGAGAAGCGCCCTGTCAGTGGAGTGATGTGATGTAAAACCATGTTGACTAGACGAGAACAGGTGATGGGAGGTAAAATATGCGAACAGCTGCTCGTAAAGTAAACGTTCGGTAACCTTAGCGATAGTCGGTAAAACTGAGATAGGCCTGTAATTAGAAACATCAGTGGATTTTAGTGTCTTTTGGATAGCATGTACTATTCTCAACATCCACGAGTCGGGAGCTTCATGGGCTGTCAGGCTGGAATTGACAATATGGGCGATCACGGGATAAGTAACGTCTATACACAGCTTGAAAAACCGGATACACAATCCGTCTACACCGCACGATGTAATGTTAGGCATGCGGGCTATGACGCGTCGCGGTTGCTCCGGTGTGACGGGCGATGCTTGGAACCGGCCGGTGGCCGCGCGCGGCAGGCGTGTCGCCAGCTTCGGCTCCGAGGAGTCCCCCTGGCGGGCGGTCGCGGTACCAATGCTGGCGAAGTACGGGTTGATTTCCGCGTCCGCATCAGGTGTGGACCTGGTTGGCTCCTTAGATGAGACGACAGGCTGCGCACTGCGCCACATCGAGCTCGGTCCACCCTCCCGTACACGCCTGTCAATCTCCTCTCGTGGGTCACGCCGCACTGCCGACCTGACCTGCCGGTTTAGGTCCTTATACGTCTCGCGGTCATAATCACGGAGTGCGGCACGCCGCCGGGCCATCAGGTCTTTGGTAGCTTCCGTGACAGGTGATGCTGTAGGATTGCGCACTTTTAAATGGCTGGCTGTGGCCATTTGGCTAGGGCTGTAGGCTTCTGCTGGCTGTGTTCGTGTCGGGAGATGTTCATCAGCTTGGCAGATGTAGTTTTTCTGGCGTCGTGTGGCTCTTCTGAGAATCTACCATGGAGGGCGGTCCTGGTAATAATGCTGGAAATCCTCGCCGATCCCAAAATCCCATTGTTTCTGGGTACATAAGCTCGAGAGGCATTTGGAGGACGTTGAGCGAGCTGTTGTTGAGCGACACGTGTCAAGAATTCATCCGGGGCTTTCCGCTCCTGATAGGAACAGCAGGTTTGCGGCAAGAGGCCTAGTTCCGCGGGCGGAAGCCCCGAGATCCTCGCCGGTAATGCCGGTGATTACGCGTAGATTAGGTGTAGAAGCAATTTATTGGTTAATTTTTCGTTTCTTTTCTCCCTATCCACTTGTGCACATTCCAAGCATCGTGGTGTTGGCGTAGGTTTGACGTTTTGCCCCACTGCGCCCCGTTTTGCTCTGTCTAAGCGTGCTTTCACCACCGTACGCACCAATGGCTCGTGAAAACGTTGACAGAGGATGTGACGTGCTATGCGTCTTGATAACGAGAAGCATCATTTGCATACCTGCGTTGGCGACACGTAATGCTATAAAACTTACCCGCGTCTTGTCTTTGCAACCGCCTTTTTCAAGCCACTTTCGCCACATTGCAATAAAGACACGACACGACAAAGACAAGACACGACAAAGACAAGACATGATGCAGGCGTGTCGCTCACCACAACCTGCAAAACTAACTCCTGTAAACACAGGGCAATGCATATGCTCCCGTGAACACCATCATCTTAGCACTATCGCCCAAAAGGTTCCCAAAGTCTTGGCACGGTGCGCACAAAGGGTAGGCATGAAAAGTGGAGATTTTTTGTTGAAACTTTCGGAGAAACCAACAAAACACGAACCAAGAGTGTCCAAGGGCCCTACCCTAGGACAAGGTTTTCAATATTAAGTGGCGCAACCGAACAAGGTTAATTGCAAGTCCTGAATGAGACATCAAAGCATTGGTTGGACTCCAAATGACGTCATGACCGACGTCACGGCTCGACGTCAATGACTGCCTCACGAGACATCAAATTAAATATGAGATGCACATAGTCTGGCACCATGTGTGTGCGCCCCATGCCCACAGCCTAGCACGATGTGTGTACACCAGACGCACATAGCCTGGCACGATGTGTGTACACCAGACGCACATAGCCTGACACTATGTGTGCGCGCCCGAAGCACATAGCCTGGCACGATGTGTGTACACCAGACGCACATAGCCTGGCACGATGTGTGTACACAGACGCACATAGCCTGGCACGATGTGTGTACACCAGACGCACATAGCCTGGCCACGATGTGTGGACACCAGACGCACATAGCCTGGCACGATGTGTTGTTACACCAGACGCACAATAGCCTGGCACGCTGTGTGTACACCAGACGCACATAGCCTGAACCTATGTGTGCCGACCACGAAGCACATAGCCTGGCACGATGTGTGTACACCAGACGCACATAGCCTGGCACGATGTGTGTACACCAGACGCACATAGCCCTGGCAACGAGTGTGTGTCACCAGACGCACACAGCCTGGCAACGATGTGTGTACACCAGACGCACATAGCCTGGCACGATGTGTGTACACCAGACGCACATAGCCTGGCACGATGTGTGTACACCAGACGCACACAGCCTGGCACGATGTGTGTACACCAGACGCACATAGCCTGGCACGATGTGTGTACACCAGACGCACATAGCCTGGCACGATGTGTGTGCACCAGACGCACATAGCCTGGCACGATGTACGCCCGCGTGACGCACGCAGTCTGGCACGATGTATAGGCACCAGATGCCCGTAAAAAAACTCCCGTGTGAACAGATCATCATGGTACGAGCAAGCAATGAACAGCGTTGGGCAGGGGGTTAGCATTCGCAAATGACTGGAGAAGGGGCCGAGCCGAGGCCCGACAACCTACAGCCCTCGCCCCCTCCCCCCCCCCCCCTCCCTCCCCATTCGGTTTTTCTCAACGGATTTACCCCGCTTTATTCTGACGAAGGGGAATTTATGTTTTGCAGTTGTGTATCATTGAAAATATTGTTTAAGTTAAGCACCATCGTCGTCATGTAGGAGAGGATCTAGAGGGGAGGGGGGGGGGGGCGGAGTCACTGGACGTGCGTGCTCCTCCTCATCGGAAAAGACGCCTATCTAGAGACCCCTCAGGGTGCCGAAGGCACTCTTTTACGGCGATCGTGGGTACCGGCACCTATTTTCGGGGTGGGGATCACGGGGTGGGGATCACGGGGAGCCGGCGAGTTATGAGCTCTCGAGCTTTCAACTGAATCTTTTAAGCCTTTAAGCATCTCACGTCCCAGGCATGTTAAGCTGATTGCATCGTGTATCTCTTCATCAGCTACGATGATGATGATGATTTGGGGTTTTAGGGCGCATCGACTGCTGTAGGTCGTGCAGCGCCCATCTCATCAGCTACATTTGTTTGGAGGTGAGAGTAAACACGGCTTTTCATTACGTGGGAGGGGTATTCTAGTCTTGGTAGGCGCACTGCTCTACATATATGCATGTATAGATAAAAATATATGTACATATGCATATATATATATATATATATATATATATATATATATATATATATGCTAGAGCAAATGTACATTTAGTCAACTTCTTGTGCGTTTGTGCTATTGCTCGAATTTAATCCTTCCTATTTTTCGGTAAGTCATAACTCAACTCGCCCTCAGCCATATATATAAGTTTTAGCTAGCTAACGTTAAAAGGACATTTGTTCACCATTTTCAAAGCAATGTAAGATGGCTGGACGGAAAATATTCGAATATGTCAAAATACCAGGCATGCTCTACGACACACAATCGTTAGTGAAGCATCAGTTAACAGATTATGCATCCGAATGTCTAGTAAAATTACAAAATACATACAAACACACGCACATCACTTTTCTAGCCAGTTTAACGCTATGGAAAGGTAAAGACATCGAATCCCCCCCCCCCCCCCCCGCTATTATTGGGTGACTGAGCAGGTCCAAAGTGATGCATGACTTAAGCTGTTTTGTTGATGGCCCGGCAGTGAGAAACAAGCCATGTGCAAAAGAGTTCCGCAAGAAACTCGTCCTCCAACAACTGACAGACAAGGGAGCCTCATACAAGAAACTCTCAACCCAACTAGGTGAGCCGAAAACCTTACCACGCCACCGTGACGTTGATGCTGTTCTGCGGAGCCCAATAAACCAGGAGCTTGATAACGTAGCAGGCAAAACTGAGTACGCTTCCAAAATCAAGGCGTCGAGGAAACTGTCTGTTTTCTACGGTGGATCCATCGTCATTCTTGAGGCCAAAGACGGATTTGCCAATTTGTCTTCCGTCGAGCTTACTGACAACCAGAAGGAGCTGCTTAAGTTAAGCCTAAAATGTCATATTCAACCGAAATTTGGCCATGCGAGAAGAGGGCCGAGTTAGGACTATTTTATCAAGATATCCTGAAGCTCAAAAAGGAAAGCATTAGTCCAAACCTGAAGGACCAGCTAGTTGGGGAAAGTGCGAAAAACCCAAACAATTGCAAGAGTATGTGTTGTTGTCATTGCAGGAGCATGATGTTGAATGCGGACCTGCCTTCAGCAGCTCAAGAACTGGGAAAGCGTATCTCCGTAAGAAGGACTGATAAGTTTGGTATATCTGTCATCATTGACAAAACTTGCTATCTGAGTAAAATGGATCATCTACTCTCTGATCATCACTTTCTGACTCTCTGATCATCATCACTCTCTGACACCTCCAAATTCGCTCGCAGCACGAGGGATGCAACCAAAAGCCTGACTTCGGAAGTCAGCGGCCTGATCACCGCGGCAAACGCCGCAGAGGGCGGGTAACACTTCGCAAAGGTCACAGGTGAATATAGATGTGCTTATGCTTACGGTAACTTAAAAACTCATTAACGGGTAGCCCCCTGAGACCAGTCATATCTCAGATCCCATCGCCTTCCTATACGCTGGCAAAAACTTTAAAAGGCATGACTGAACCCTACACTCCGGCAGAGTATTGCTTAAAATACCCTACCCTACACTCCGGCGGAGTATTGCTTAAAATACCCTACCCTAACACTCCGGCGGAGTATTGCTTAAAATACCCTACCCTACACTCCGGCGGAGTATTGCTTAAAATACCCTACCCTACACTCCGGCGGAGTATTGCTTAAAATACCCTACCCTACACTCCGGCAGAGTATAGTCTGAAATCATCAGGGGAGCTCATTAACATTATCAAGTCTAGCAATCCTCCTGGTTTACTTGCTTAATTAGACGTACACAGATTAGTCACAAACGTGAGGGATGATGGAACAATGCAAGTTAGGCTGCGTCTACAATACGAGATACAAGGCTGCGATTACAGTCACACAATCTTGCCACCACTGAAACTGTCACGATCCGTCCTCGAAAAAAATGTTCCAATGCTGCACAACAGAGGCTTTCGTTGTCCGAAATGAAAACTCTACCGCTAAGTAAATGGAGCCACAATGGGGTCATCGCTCGGATGCCTGTTTACATATAGGCGAATGTACTGGCTGGAGAACGTTCTTTTCAAAAACCTTAACCTTAAACCATACATACACGGCAGACATGTTGATGACATATTTGTTGATGTCAGAGAGCATCAGAGAGCATGTCGTTATTTGTTGAGGCCCGCCTCCATCAACTGCAGGCCACCATGCAACGGCAACCGTCATTACGATTTCAAACGGACTGAGTGTCCACGACCTAATGGCTATTCGAACAGAGCCATTGACGAAGAGATTGAGTCACCTTGAATCGACGAAACCAGAAATCGCTCAACAAGAAACTGTCCCATCAACTGTTTTATCGAAATCCAATGTTCCCGTCATATGTGATGGATAAATAGTTTCCGGAACATCATCCATACAAATAGCACACCGACTGATGAAAGCACTTAAATAATACTTATCAGCTGTTACGATAGCTGGACAACTAGTAGCCTCATAATGAAAGACAATATGACAGCACACCAAAACCAACTAAAGCGCATCGGTATAGTGTATGAATGAAAACGCCCGTACGGGGACTGCCGGCTCCGCAGCTCTACCTATGTTGGAATGACCACAACATCTTTGTCACGACGCATGACTACGCACCTGCAGAGGGAGCACCAGACCAACATATGCGCAAAACCCACAACCAAAAACTCTTGTGCTTTAACCCGACTGAAAACACACTGATACTAAAATCATGTCCGAACAAACGCCGTCTTCAAGTTCTTGAAGCCATCCTCATCAGAAAAAGAATGTCTGACTTAAACAAATAGCGTAGGTCATGCACCACTTCGGACTTGTTCAGTCACCCGATGACAGCGGGGTGATTGGATATCTTTACTTTTAACGGTGTTAAACTGGCTGGAAAAGCGATCTACTTGTGTTTGTATGCGTTTTGCGATTTGATTAGATATTCGGATGTATAGCCTGTTAACTGGTGGCTCATTAACGACTATGCCTCGTAGAGCATGCCTGGCATTTTGCCAAATTCGAATGTTGTCAACCTGACCGTCTTACATTGCTCTGAGAATGAGGCACAAATGTCCCTGAAACGTTAGCTAGCTTAAACGAATATGCATGACCATAGGCGAGTTGGTTTGTGACTTTCCGAGAACAGCGAAGGATTTAATTCGAGCAATGGAACAAACACACAAGAATCTGATTACATGTACATTTGCCCTTCCGTTTAACAAAACTTGCATTAATGAAAGCGTACCTCAGTACACGAAGAGAGAGAGAGAGAGAGAGAGAGAGAGAGAGAGAGGAGGAGAGAGAGAGAGAGAGAGGAGAGAGAGAGAGAGAGAGGAGAGGAGAGAGAGAGAGAGAGAGAGAGAGGAGAGATGAGTAGGGATAGAGAGAGAGAGATGAGAGAGGAGAGAGAGAGAGAGAGAGAGACGAGAGAGAGAGAGAGTAGAGAGAGAGAGAGAGGAGAGAGAGAGAGAGAGAGAGAGAGAGAGAGAGAGATATATATATATATATATATATATATATATATATATATATATAATGTATTATGCTACAAAGAAAACGCGTGCGTGTCATGCGTCCGTGCATGAATGCACTCCAACGAGGCTAAAGCCTTTAAAGGAAACAAAAAGAGTCAACTTGTTTACATGCCGACACTTGCATGGTTCAGGATATGAACGCTGATTATGTATATAAGATAGCCCGAAAAGAACTAGGTTCAAAGACAGTAGTACAAGCACATATGCCTTCCAAGCCTTGACATTGTTAGGTCTCGATGCCTGTAACCCGGCAAGCTTACTTCCTTTGTCCGCATCAACTGCGCAGATGGTAAAAAAAGCTGTTGCATGCTATTTTAGCGGATTTTAGCTGGACAGCTCATCTTGTGCAGGGTCAAGCCGATCATGCAAACAGGAAGACTGTGACTGAACGATTTTGTGAATCGAGTATTTTCAAAGTGGAATCGAATCCATTTCATCCTGTCGCAGGCTATGTGACTCGGTTCTGGATCAACTCGACCGAGCAACCAATGCAACCGAACTGAAATTCGCCCCGGGCCGAAAAGAAATGAATCACCGAAATGAAGTCGTTTCCGCTGGAGTCCAGCACAAGCTTGTTGGTCTGCCACGTAGCACGGTGCGATGCATGTCGCAGAGAACGTGAGGCGCTCTCTCCATGCGATGTATGGCGCGATATGATGCCGGATTATAGCAGTGGCGGATAGGTGACCGGTTTTCTGCCGCGCAGTTCCTGTCTCAGCTGGGGAGCTGCAGGTTTAAAGCCTGGAGAGAGGACCCGTTGGTGGCATTGCAGCGGAGGCCCTGACTGTGAGACCGCGGCCGGAGGACTGACGGTAGGTGACGGCTGTGGAACGAGCTCACGGGCTGGGGAAGTAGCCGGAAGTGGCGCTTAAAGGGAATGTTTCACATTTGAAGATATTGAAGCAAGCATCAGATATGATGAAATAAGCTCACTTCTACCAACAGATATACGTTTCAAGTGGAAAAGACCACTCTAGACAGAACAATTCTCTGTTTAGCAATTTTACTTCTCCCTGCGCCATGGTTTAATTACGTCATCGTACTTTCCACAGCATTGGTTTAAAGCCATTTGACTGTTGTTATATCTGGAGATCGCGCTCACGAACGCCAGATATGAATGCCTCAACAATTATGCTTGTTTCGCCTTGATTGCCGCATAACTTATGGAATGGCGGGATTTGAATGACATTATTATGACGTCATTAATGCCAAGGTGACCTTGAAATACTCTCCCCGAAATACTCCCACCATTTTCGTGGGCGTGTAGCTCAGAAACGCAGATGCTTAGGACTTCAGAATGGCACGGTTGTGAACAGCACCGAATAGTCCTCACGATGGCTTTGTTTCAAAACCCCATATAAATCCTCCCCCAAGGTGATACAGGCGTCCTGGGAAAAGCAGGCAAAACCAATGCCACTTGCGATTCTGGCTTTTGGAAGCACTTCAGGAGAAAAGAATCAGCTCCTGGCTATGAAACCGACAAATATACAGACAATACATAATACATAAATGAACTAACAGCAGAACACCGTCCCATTTAAGCAGAGCTAAAGATCATGTTATTAAGAATTATGTGTACGCCCAGGCGAAGACCTCCTTTAAAAGTAGTATGTGTGCTCCCCAAGAATCATTTTAGTAAAAGTTAGGTGTAAAAATATGCAAAGACCTCCTTTAAAAGTGGTTTCAGCTTTGTGTGTTGCCGCTGAATCAATACTTTGTGTGTTGCCGCTGAATCAATACTTTGTGTGTTGCCGCTGAATCAATACTTTGTGTGTTGCCGCTGAATCAATACTTTGTGTGTTGCCGCTGAATCAATACTTTGTGTGTTGCCGCTGAATCAATACTTTGTTGGAACGTTCATGACAATATACGGGGAATCAGAAGACGGACTTAGATTTTTTCATTGAAATGGGTCGCATCGTCAACTGTCAGATCGGAAATATTTAAGGGTCGCTTGAGAGTCATGGCCCGGCGCTTAGAAGGCCGATTTTTTTAAACTGAGTTAGAGCTCTGTCAGGTGATTTTGACGCCAGGTTAAAGAGGTCACGTCAAGGTCATAGTCGTAACACAGTTTTGTCTTGAGCATGTAGTATAAGTGTTTATTAGTACGCATCTGGTCATCCTGGGTTGAGCTGAGGGGATCCCATCCAAGCCATGCAAAAATAGCTGCATGTGAGAGGACACAAACCTGGACCAGATCTACCCACTTACTTGAAATTTGCGAGGTGCGTGCGTCACAATCGTCTGCATCATATTTACCTAGAATATTTTAAAGTTTGTCTGTGTAATTTTCCTGATTCACTGATAACACCCCAAACTTCCTGCACATTCGTTTCTTTGTCGCGCATCCTTGCCTTTTATTGCATCAAGCCTGGTGACCGAAGAGCGTGAAAAAATCTACACAGATTCCCAGAGGCCAACAGGAGATTCTGAACAGAGCCGATCCATAACGGAACACAGTGTGCCGCAGAGATTGGGTGCGAACGGGGACGACGGAAGAGGAAAGGAGGAGTGTGAAGTCCGGCTGTCACTCTCCAGATAACTGAGTAGCGTGGGGAGCAGGCGGAGCATCTAACAATGCACCCCAGAAGTGCGGTCATTTTCGTCTTCTTCGTTGCAGGCTGTGGTCTTTTAATGGTGAGCAGGTTATGTGCATTCTAGCTTACTGGATTGGCATGCGGACAGAAAAGTTTCGGGGCTATAGGCGTCTAAGTATTGTCAGTGAAAAAATCGTGACGTTGGCGTTTGGCGCCTTTGTGCAAACCATGAACATTACTGTTGATGGTTCTATTCATTGCTTCTTTTCATCAAAGGCGTTACAAAAAATGCGTGTTTATGATATATATATATATATATATGTATATATATATATATATGTATATATATATATATGTATATATATATATATATATATATATATATATATATGCACATGTTTGTGTATTGGAAATCCATAATCCTGTATAGATTTGCATCATCAACGGTACAGCTGTTATGGATGGTCACAGTAGCGCGGACCAGGCCACAAACGCCGCCGAGTATGCCTGACCCCGACAACGCCCCGCTGACGTCTGTTCACCGCTCGCAGGCGGACGGAGCACGCCTTCTTCGGGGTTTTGACCACACTGCCTACGGTAACGTGCGGTCGCTGATCTCCGGAATACATTCCGTTGTGCGCGTCGAGGGCCACCCGGAAGAGTGTGTCATTAATGGCAGGCTGGGGTTCATTTTGAGCAGCGGGTCTTGCGTCGAGGCCGTCACGACACCGCCCTGCGCCGGGTGCTACGGTTCCTGTGGTGATGTGTGCTGTCCCCGCTGGCCCTGCTGAGTCAGCCTGGAGAAGCCGTGTTACTCAGAGACGGGTGCGCTGAGCCAGCCCGGCTGCGGACGGTTGTGTGCTCACATGGCTTGTTGCGGAGTCGCTGTGCTAAAGAAACACTGACACTGATGTCAGAGCTTGGTTTGACCATGAGTGGTGATGAACCCGCGGCGTCACCCTGTGATATGTGCCGCTAATAGAAAAACTTGGGTTCGAAAGCCATGAGCCTCGCAGTCAACTAACTAGACAGCACGTTTGCAGGATTGGCATGTATTTGTATGGAGCTCATTTTACGGGCCATACAAGTTATTTGAAATGTAAAGAAATGACTAAAGCTATTGTTTGGTGTTAGCTGAAATAAAGCATCTTAGTTTTCCGTTGAGCCGGTAACCGACACCAATAAAGCTACAAAAAGTGATTGGTGTGGGTGACAGACGACGCGAAAAAGTCGCACACTACAAGAAAAGGTGGCTCGTTATTTGCAACAGATGCAGGCGAAATAATTGCTCCTGATTTTATTCAATGTATTACACTAGGCTAGCAAAGACGAATGTGTAAGCCGCTAATGCACAACAGCGTGTTTTAGTATTGGGAGGAAGTATTGGAGTCGCACGATCAGGCGTACTCGCATTCCTCTCACGCGCTGTTGTACCAATGCTGCTATATTGCAAAAAACATACGCTCATTGCAAATTTGCTTTGCCGTATTAGTTTCTCCTGTTAGCGCAAGGAAATGCGTGTACCTGCAGGGAGATAATCATCTTGGCATGGTCCCGAGATTTAACTGGACGTCCCTTCGAATAACAAAGGTGGGCCCCAACCCGCGTCAGCGTAAGCCATGTACTCGAAAGTTTGATGAAATACGTAGTTCATATGCCTAGAAAAAATCAAAGAATTCAAACACACTGTAGCAAACCGTTTTGGAGACACCAGCAAGAAGCTCTAGCTTGGGACGGGAGGAACCTGCCCCCACACGCAATAAAAAATCGGAAAAGCGAACAAAAAATTGGATACAATTATCTGAGTGTGTTTTGCACGAAAAAACATTTCGGAGAAGCGTGAAAAATCGGGGCAAAAGTTCAGAAAGTTCAGAATCGAGGAGGAAAGCCGAGAATCGAGGACGGGAGTGTGTGTGCTGGTGTTATAGATGCATGCTTGAAGTGCGCGTCGGGGTTTGCGGCAGGTGTGAGGTGAGGACGAGGTGAGCGATGGTGCATAGAGCGAGGCAGAAGGACACATTGGAGGTGGGGTGCGCTACAACATGGGCGTATGTACGTGCAGCGATGCCCAGTGTGAATCTACAGGGTTAACTAGAAATCCTCCACGCCAGGTTAAACCTTACCCCTGGCGAAACAACGACCTTGATAAATGGTATGATAACTTGTTTTATAAATTGGTCACTTCACGTCAGTTCAATCACAATTTTACTAACTATCATCTCAGATCTGGACAAAACTAGAAAACTGGGAAATAACGTGAGGGAAACGAGCCAAATTAAACGATGATAACTCTTCAGCCATGGCAAATATTTCCGATTGAAAAATGTCTTAATGTAGGCAATAAAATGATCTAAGCGTTTTAAATTAAACAAACAAGACGTCTGTGAAGCTCTCATATTGCTGCATGGCATGATTTTGTAAATATTGACATGTAAAGCTGAAATGAATCCACTTTTAGGATAAAATTGACCTTTGACCTAGCCCGGTGAGGTTCACTATCGACCTAGCGACATAACACATTTTACAAATCGCGAAATCCCATTGAGAGCAAGCTTTTGATTTTCTCACGATTTTCTATCATTCTTAGAGACGGTAGGGGGTTCGCATCACCTCTCCTTCCCCCCCCCCCCCCCTCCTCTTATCAGTCCGCGTCATGGAATGCGTCGAACCAGGGAGCGGAATAAAACCGTCATTGGATAGCAATGCTTTTCCATCACACAACCTACGTTCCCCAAATTGGTGACACCTCTGATTAATTAGAAACCTCAATTTTCGAAATCCTTATTCAATCCTACATCGGAAACCATCAGTAGCAAAGTGGGGAATCACTACATACTCGCGCAGTGCGAACGCAATCGCAGTTGAGCGGACAGGTGTGGCATGGCCCCGGCACCTCGCCCCCCCCCCCCCTTCTGCCGGCAGCCCCAGCACCTCGCCCCCCCCCCCCCCTCGCGCCGGCAGCTCCGGCCCGCGCCGATGCCACCGGCAGTTGTTGCCCCCCCCCCCCCCCCTCCCGTGCTGGGCCAGCAAGACGACTCAAGACGACGAGAGCCACTGTTTAAGTGATGATAACGTCGATGCGATCAGCCCTCTCCCTCGCACCAAACGGTGTCGGTTGTCTCAGCTGTAACCCAGCTAGCTGCGTGAGTTCTGCGTTGACGGAAGGTTCCACGTGGGCAGTGATTACGAAGCGCTAATACCCTTTAAAAGACAGGTTTGTGTCAGCCTGCTTAACCTGGGGCATGAATCGATCCGTAAAGGGTGTCAGTCACTGCCTGTCAGTAAAAGATTCATTGTTGGCCACCGCTAGTGTCTGTGGCTTGTACCAGTACCAGCGTACCGACAGACTGGGGCAGTCGTGATACTGCCCCAGTCGTGGTACTGCCCCAGCACCACGACTGACTACTAGTTGGCAGTCGTGTCAGCCAATTACCAGCGGCAAGCTACGCACAGAAGACAGAAAGCAAATCAAGAAGGATGCTAAGGCCACGGATTTGCCACATCCGGAGTCGTCGACCTGGTGTCATGGGCCAATAACACAATGCATGATGATGTCGTTAGTTCATATTTCTTTAATGCGGTCACTAAGAACATTACATCGCATGCATAATGTAGTTTATCGATCAAAAAAGTGTGCTGTGGTTGCGGAGTTATCATTCTTGTACTCAGAACTTGTCCTCCATTACGTCATTTTCGGACGTCATCACTGTCATTGGACAGCTGCTGGCAGAGGCCCAAAAACTTCGGGATCGTGACCAGTGCACCAGCTGACTCTAATGACTAAGTTGTAGTCAGATCTGAGGTGGTAACATGTACTCGGCTGGTTGATTTAGCGTAGAATAAATGATCCCACTCCTAGAATAACTTGTAAATTACTCAATGAATCGCAGTGAGAGCTCTCTGCACCTACATTTTGAATGCCCTTACATATTTTTCAAACATTCATAGTCCCTTTTTTCCATATATCAAGAGCGATGATGCCTGTCGATGTAATGCCAGTCGTATTTTCGAGACACCCAAAGTGAGAAGGGTGTTCTAGAACACGCACCCGGAAGCAGCTCCTGGCGTGGTTTGTGCGCTGTGTTGGATATTTTGTAAGGTCTTGTGCCAAAGATTTGTGGTACTTCACTGTTCTTACATAAATGCAGAACTTCAAAAGATACGCTTATTTTTTCATGCATGGTCAAATTATGTCACATTCGCTAAATTAAGATGTTTTATGAATTATGGTTGTCTTGTACTTTTCAAACATTGAATGCAATATCGGCTGATATGTCACGTAGCTTCACGAGTGTCATATCGCATTGCTTTATTTCGGGACCATATCGAGCTTGGTACTGGGTACTCTTAGGTACTGGGTGCGGGAACAAAACATAGAAGGTTTTATATGGATGGTGTGATTGGATTGTGAAGGTCTTAACAGCTAGCGAGCAACCATCAATGTGTTAATAAACATGTGAAAGTTATACAAAATCGCTTTCAACATGGTCAAGCGGTCAGAGTCCACACGCTCAGTTTTCAGGTGGAAAACAGAGTTAAAATCGCTGTTGTGTAATACTAGTTTGTCTACAATTGTATACACTCTTTAATTAGAATTGTATATATCATTTAATTATGAAATTTAATTTAAGCATTAGTTTTAAGAGTTCATTACCAAAGAAGTGGCATGGGCTTAATTTATTTATGGACTTATTTTATCATATATTTATCTACTTAATTTCACCATGTAATCATAAAATATATCACGAAATTAAATCAAAGCCTTTATCGCATATCATCACAGCTAGCTATGGAGTTAAATTACATCAAACTTAATTCACATCAAACATAATATTACTTGCATAAGTGTAAAAATATAGCTGACGCACTGACGTAGCTAATGTGCTCGGGCGTGTTTAAGCACGTTTAAGTGACCCAGGAAAGGTCACTGTCGCAATTCTCCGATGACATCAATGTGATTCGCGCCTAGATGGCTATTCGATGCGGTAATCAACTCTGCTCTACTGTGTTTAGTGTTTGGGATGACAAATGGCCAGCAAGACCAGCTTTATCCCGCGAAAATAAGAAAATAGCTCACACGGTGTGATCTATGCTCGTTGAAGCAAAGTCGAAAAATTGCAACTTCCTAAAGACACTGACAAGCATGACACGTTGGTGGCCAAGTATTAATGAAGGCGGATTGTTAATCAGATCGATTGCAAAAGGTGCTCTGGTTCCCTTCTGAGATTAGGTGAAGCTATCACAGATCATTGACATTGCGTGACCTTCAAAGGATTTTAACCTATCCGGTCTACCCCTGCTGGTCATGACCACGCCCTGGGGAACGCCGTGTCATGTGTGGGAGAGTCTCAGCAACGTACCTATGCAACGACCGTGGGCGTCACTCACATGGTTGTCCCACGGGAGGGTTGTATCGAAAATAAACCACCGGAGAAGACCAGTGATGCTTTACGGTTGCACTCTCTGCATGCGCTGGGCCCGCCGTGATGGCCTCCTATTCATCAGCGCCACCTGTGCGGGCCAAGCCTTGGCCTGTCGTAGTCACCTCCTCCCCTCATCAGCGCCACCTGTGCGGGCCAAGCCTTGGCCTGTCGTGGTCACCTCCTCCCCTCATCAGCGCCACCTGTGCGGGCCAAGCCTTGGCCTGTCGTGGTCACCTCCTCCCCTCATCAGCGCCACCTGTGCGGGGCCAAGCCTTGGTCTGGCCGTGGTCGTCTCCGCCCTGCTGCAGCGCCTTGAGTACCTGCAGGGCCGGCGCCTGGCAGTGGAGCGCGCCGCTCCACGGTGGCGCCCTCTATATGCGGAGAATAAGGGCCCTGTGATGGTCACATTCAGTGTCCTACAATCCATGGTGTCCTCCCCTACAGTGGCGACCTCTACGCCCGCAGAATGTGCGCGTCCTGGTGATCATTGCCGCTGGGTAGTGGCGGCCCTTTATACCCACAGGACCTGGACCAAAGATGGATGACACGGCATGGGTGACACGGTACGCGTGACACAGAATTAGTGATGTCGCTCCCCCTTGTGTGACGTCACGTGACGGCCATATGTTGATCACGGATATTGGTTGCGTTGCTGGCTCATTTTGATGTCTGCTGTCACTTCACGGCTTCTTTTCCGCATTTACCTTGTATTTACTTCGCCTTGTATTTTGCCTTTTCTACATGTCTATTGTTGCACCCGATCTGAGCCTCCTAGCAGCATGGAAAGGTACCAATTGAGCCAAAGCCCTTACCACTTTCTGAAACTGTGGATCGATATCAGGCTCGCTGCCGGATG